AACCCAAATTTTAAACAATCTTATATATTTGGACTTCTGTTATAACACACTGTGACAATTTGTCGCATAAGAATTAATTAAAATGTAAAAATAACAAATTTTCATTAATTTAAAAAATTTTTTTTATATTAAAAAGAATTGTTTTCCTTCTATGTATTAAAAATTAAATTTTTGTTTTAAAATCCGTTTTAATAAACCGGTTGAAGCTTATTCTATATATAAATTTCTGTTCATTATTAAGTTTTTATAAACTAATTTTTAAAAGAGTTTAATTAAATATTTTTAAATTTTAATATGACCCTTTGGTGGCATGATGATATATAAAGTTTGGGTCAAATGGACCCAAGTGTGTTAGCGGCGTGACAAAAAAAATTGTATCAACCGAATGTTAAAATACTGAGAAAAAAATGCTATTTAACATGTGTTCTTGATTATTATTGGTGCTATTGAAGCAATATTTTTCTTCTCAGTGTAATATTTGTTTATTTCTAAAGTGTAGGTCTATGTGTATCGTTCTTATGTGTAATATAATCAACTTATTCAATTGATCATCTAAGCGGCAGAGTAGTCCAGACAGTTTTAGAAAGTTGTACTTTGTACAACACTTTTTCTGTCTTTGAAAATATTTATTTAAAAAAAAAGTATAATTGACATAACAAGACCCCGAGTCTTGCGATTATTTATCAACTCTGCAAATGTATATATTTATTAATAAGTGGTAAGCAATGATTTTACATGATCAAGTGTATCCTTTTGTGTTTGTGATTTTATTTCGAATTTGTTATGCCTCCCATATTTCTCAATCATTATTTCCAAATGAATGTGTTTATTGAAAAAAGTTATTTATCAAAAATTATATTTTTATTTTTAATGTCCACATCCAATTATAAATATGTTGTTATTAACTCGTTCTTATCAATGCACGTTACTTTCCTTCAATCCATTGATAAAATGTTACGAAATTTCAAATTATCGTACAAATAAATATTTACTTATATAATTTCCTTATTTAATATTTTGCAAATGTACAAATTATTTATTGAAAAGATTTAATTAATACTTTTGATATTTTACTTTAACTTTGGACAAAATTCATGAAAAATTACATTATTTTGAAAGAAATATTGTCATATTTATTGTCTCGCTTATTTAAAGTAATAAAAGAAATATGTTATGTTCTTAAAATAAATATGTTTTTTTATTTTTCATGAATAAAAAAAATGTATTTATAAGAAAATTTTTTTTTATATTTTTTATATACCTACAAAAAATATATATATAAAACATCCAATATTTGCTGTATTGGAGAGTTAACATATAATAATAAGTGCATTTTCGTTTTCGAGAGCAAAGTTGTATTTTATCAATATTTACGGTAAGCCCTCAGAATCTCCAGAGAAATAAGAAACTAAAAATACAATTTTTTGATATTCGATTCCCTTTTAGTCTAAAAGATGCAATTTCTGTACCTCTAAAGTGTAAACATAAAGAATGATAAATATTTATTTTTTGAAAAAGTCCTTATATTGCATCAAATTCACTTCATAGAAAATTTTTTTTTTCAATTTTAATAATTCATTTTTATTTTATTTAAAGGTGCACTCAAAAGCAATTCAAATACAGTTTTATATTAAAAAGTAGGACTATAAGTGTAATATTAATTTTCTTTCATTCTTAGCAAACGAAAGGCGTTTCAATTACATAAATTATTAGATAATAATTATGAAACATGAATATTACACTGAACATTCTTGACTTAATTGAAAATTATCAACTATTTTGCAGCGCGTATATGGAATGTTTAATTATATATTTTAAAATTAAAATCAAATTAATTTTTGCTTGAAATGAAAATTAGAATATATTTTTTCAAAGAACGAAAGATATTTTCTTCTTGATAACATTATTTTATTAACCTGATTGAACAAAGTTTGAAAAAGTAAAAAAAGTTTGTGTCTCTTTTGTTCACCTACTAAATCTTTTAAGTGTGCAAAAAGTAAAAGAAAATAACACACGGAATTTCCGGCCTTGAGAGTTTTCACATAATTTTCATGCAGAATAAGAGAAAGAAAAATTTCTGTCAGCGGTAAATCCTTTAACTGCACACGGAATATAAAAGTCAAAAATACAGTAATTTATTCGCCAACCATTGTGAGAATTACTCCCCGAGGGACAGTAATAAGACGGCAAATTTGACGAATAAATCTTTTTAAATTTGAATTTCTTTCTCCACTTTAATTTCACTTCTGCTTGCTTCTGCTACTCCAATTTTCCTTTATTTCCATTTATATAACTTTTTTAAAAATGACAGTGAATATGTTTTATTGCTTTGTTTTTGTAATTTTTGCTTAGGTTAATAGGAAGATTTGTTTTAGTGAAAATTCAATTGTTAGGTATTTTTTTGATTAATTTCGATTTTAGGGACATCATCAGTTACTGACAGATGATGTCCCTAAAATCTGCACCAAGAATTCCTGGACTTTAGCATTCTCAGTAAGGTAATCCAGGTCGCGGATGTTCAGTGTTGGATCTGCCATCTGCACCTTACCCACGATCTTAGTCCCCACACAGCATTGAAAGTTTTCCAAAAGTTGAAATTACCTTGACTGCAATGTTCGGAATCTTTAGTTACGAGGCTCTTTAAAGTTGAAGTAATTCTTTAAATTTCGACTGTTTTTCAATGTTTGACGCGAAAGTTGACTGAACATTGCATGAAAATTTGAGGGTCTTACTCCAACCACACGTTTTTTGCTCCCTTCCAGATTCACCCCTATCAGAGATGCCATTGGGCGGAGGAATTTCATCCCCACTCTTGCACCATTTTACATTTAAGTCAATGTAAAATGGCGCAAGAGTGGGGATGAAATTCCTCCTCCCAATGGCATCTCTGACCCCTATGCGAATTTTTCCCAGAACTTCAGCGTAGGTAACGTCCTTAGCCAATGTAGGTGCAAGTGCCAGTGCCAATCCCCAATACATTTTAAATGGGTTTGGCACTGGAACTTGCACATGCATATTGGCACCTATTGGAGACTCAGCTTTAGAAATGTTTGATCTAACTATGCACGGAGAAAACTATGGAGTATTCAACTAACTATCTGGAGGAACAAACAGACTATATTTGAGGTTAAGTTTTTCGTAACAATCTCGGAGGAATAAATAGACACTCCGATGATTAATTTGACTCACTCGGAGGGAAAAGTTAACTATCCAAAGAATCAGGCTTAACACTCAAAACCTAACCCCCTAAGTTTGACTATCCAGTTTTCTCAGTGTGGTTTAATATTTGCATAAGCTATTCCGAAGAAAACGAAATCAAGGTTCATCCTGCGAATATTGACTGGTCACGGTACAAACCTCGGAGCCGCTACATAGACTGACAATCATCCATGTCTTCCTTTAATAATTAATTTTATCACGCGAACCCTAAACTTTCCTCTTGGAACAGCAGGGAAACAATTTTGGAATTACAGAAACACCCGCATCTGTCTCAGCGCTCGTCCAATTCCAACCAGAAATGAAAGATCAAATCGACGTCGCTTGGGTGATAAACCATACCATTTCAACTGTAATCTGAAAAACACTCTTTTTCCCTTAATGTCCGAAGCAGTTTTTCCCAAGACTGAAGTCTTGGCAAAGACAGGTTCCGAGACGGCATTGATAGGTCCAGAACCAATAGTAGCAATAATGGTTGGTTAAAGGAGCCATGAAAAATGGGGTCAAAATATTGGGCAGGAATTGGGGTAGGAAGGCAAGCGAAGTCTCTGGTGGGGCCATGGACTATTGAATTATCATCAGCACAAAATAGGCAGATAAGTTTCACCTATGTGCAGATTGTGTAAGACGTGCAATTAAACAGCGGGTAATATTATCTGAACGCCCACCTGCTTAGGGTCAATGATTACTTGGCCCCAACTGGAACTTCTGGAGGAAAACTGCTGTCCTAGTTTAAAAACACACTATCTACAATGAGGTTCAAATCCAGATAGTGCCTTTTTAAATCAGGACGTAAGTATAGATGTCGAAATGAGACGCCACAAGACGTCTATAGACGTTTATGTTCTAGACGTCGAAATTGTTGCCCATAGACGTCTATGGATGCTGTCCAGGACATCTTAGATCATCTACATAAGTAGATGTCTATCATTTCGAGTAGACCACTGATTTCTTGATGGTAGACACCAGCGAGAAATCAGTGGTCTATTTCCTGCAACAATTTCTGACATTCGTAAAAGTTAACAATAGACGCAATATCACAGATTTACTTGCTTCTTAACAGTGTCAATAGATCTTGCATCTATGGTCAATTCCCATGTAGATCTCTCACAAGCACAATATTTGTAGCATATATATACAAGTTCCGAATTAGCTTACCCCACGTCTAAGGCCGAATCGTTGTTGTCGATAACATATAAATTTTTATTTTGTCTCTCTTTCTCCTGCAAACTCTGACATAATTTACAAACTCCAAAACAGTATTTCGAAAAATTCTTTTCAATAAATGTCATTAACGTTATATTTATCTCGAGTTTTATATCATTAAAGTTTGTTTTCGTCGTTGAAACGACGAGACTATATACTTTTTTTTTAAAATTAAACATCTCAGACGGCGCCGTCTTGAATGAAGTTTATGAGTGAGTTGGGAATTTTAAGGGGGGTTTGGGTAGTGTGGGGTTAGTTGTTTGCCACACGGCGAGTTTATAGAGAAATGGACTTCCCCCTGTTACCCCGCTGCCCACCCAATTTGTAGCAGAGGTAATAGCCAGGACGCGGTTTTCTCGTGGCCGGTGTGTATCTCTCAGGTCAGTCCAGGGTGTGCAGGGAATAATTCGCCAAGCTCAGGACGTCTGCGCGTGCTGCATTGCGGGTTGCCTACACTCTATCTTCCCTTGCTCCCTTCACCACCTTTTCCATCCTCCCACTTTCTATGCTGTAAAAGCTCAACCAGATCCTCTTGGTGTTTGTTACGGTACTGCATAACCAAACCACTATCCAGTTCGCTCTCGGTTCTTCAACTTGCCGGAAGTCAAAATGTAGTCAGAGGAATTTCGCGACCGAACCAGTCCATCCGGTTGCGGTCGGACAAAATATTTTTTTTTCCTTTTTGCAAAAAACACCAAATTCTCTAGAAGAAACACTACAATTAAAATAAAATAATAAAATACTCTTTTAAAGGGGGTTCCTTTTTTTAGAGAGGCGTACAATTTAAATAAGAGAAATTTTAAATAAAAAATGTGTTATTCATCTTATATTGTCAGAATGTATATTATATACAACTGGGGTAATAAATATAATTGTATTTATATGGTTAAAAATCGTAGAGAATAGAGCGTTTATTAAGAACGCTAAAAATGTGTCTCTTTAATGATTCGTCTTTATTGGATAAAAAAACAAATATTAATAATAATAAACTGCAAAGAAATTCTTTAATACAATTAGTTAAGGAAAAAGGTGGACAAATGCGTATGTGATAAACTTTAATTTTTTCTCTCGATGTTAAAAATCTACGCTTTAGATGCTTTCGCCAATCTCGAAAAGTTTGTTATTTAATCGGAGGCAATCGAGGCTTGACGTCGTTTTTAAAATTCCCAACACTTTGGTAATTAAAAAAACTAGGAAAATAATTTTTTGGTTTACCTTCTCCCCTCACCTCTTTTTTGTACTTAAAATAGTTCTCCTTGTATGTGTTTGTTTTTAATTGAAAACGACTATCAAAATACATTTTTTTTTTTACCAATTAAAGAAGCTATTGCTTCTATTTTATTTTCTTCTTGTGAAAAATTAAATAAGTTTATTTTTCTTTGGATATGGAAGTTTTTCATTTGATTTCATTAAAAGTAAAATAGAAAATAAAATTGAAAATTATTCATTTTTAGAATATGGCGAAAGAATCTTACGCCAAAGCCGAACCCGAGCTTAAAAAAGAGTTGAGCGAAATCGCACAACAAATTGTCGCTCCTGGAAGAGGAATTTTAGCCGCTGACGAATCCACCACAACTATTGGAAAGCGTCTTAAGGACATCAATGTCGAAAATAACGAAGAGAACCGCAAAGCTTACAGACAACTTCTATTTACAACTGCAAAGGTAAATACGATAAAGGACATTTCAAATTATTTAGAAATTGTAGATTTTAATATATAAACACAATATATGCTATTAAAAACAATTAAAATGGTCGCATTGAAACTAGAAAATATTCTTAAATTAATACCTTTATCAAAAAGCTTGTTAAAAATGCTGTAAAAAACACTCGTATAAATTTAAAATCGATTAACTTTTATAAAAGTTATAATGAATTGAAATTTATCGTGCACTGTAAAAGCAAACCTTTTTGAACCCCTATATCATGGAAACCCGTTACACTAAGTTTGCTATTTCTTACAAATTTCACAGAAGTCAACTATTCATAAATTTGTAGGAGAATAAGCCAAGGTACATAGAATAGATTCTTGATCAGGAACGTAAACGGAATCGTAAGAATGAGTGAAATAAGGACGGACATGTATCTCTACCCTTCTCTATCTCATTCTTACGATTCCAATTACATTCCTAATTAAGAATTTAAGTCATAAGCTGTTTGAACTACTTGGACAATTAATAGGTCACTAACCGAAATCAACCTATCTTAAATCCACGATATTTTATTTTATCTACTTCGGGACAAAATTTATTACAATTTTTTTTTGACATAAGTAATACTTAGACTTCATATAATTTTTGTTTTTATGTTAAATGTACGTATATTTCAATGTCATAATTTTCTAGGTTATGGTTATGGGAACTGCGTGAAATTTCATTATTTTTTGTAAATTTTTAACATAATCTTAAATTACACATTTCGCTGCCTTGTATTTTTTCACTTATTCCATTTACTCAGATTTCATCTACTCGGACAACATGCATATAACTGTTAAAGCTTTTCCTTTTTTATCAGTTTCTGGGCGAAACTAAATTTTGTGGTTATATTGTAGCAAAACCCTAATTATCACATTCATATTGACAAATCGTATCAACCGGTCATTATTGTCACCCAACAAAAATTGTCTATTTCTGCCGCGCCGAGCGCTGGCAATCATCACTTCAAGGTCATGTCCGCAGCGAATACAGTCGTGTGCAGCGATGCCCTTCTTCAAGAAAAGCACTAATTTGACGTGTTAAGCGAAACACCAAAAAAATTTACTGGTTTGCCTCACGACTTAACCTATTGACCGCTGAGTTGTTTAGACAATTAGTTCTAACAAATTGTAATTTAAATAAAGGAACAGTTCTGGGAGAACGTTTTGATGCAAAGAAACCAAATAGACATAAATGGTCAAAACAATTGAGTAAAGCATTGATAATTTTAAATAAAAATAGAAGATCAGCAAAAATGAATCTTTGATATAAAGTTGGAATATGAAATAATCTTCTAAGATCAGTATATAGTCATGATCATAATAGTCGTAGGGCACACCAGTTTGTCTAGCTAAGAAACGAATAAACCTGTTCTGGATTCTTTCAATATCGATCATTAAATAATCCTGATAAGGCCTCTACAAAGTAGAAAATGACCCAGATAGCACCGTTTTTTCCAGGAAGTTATCCGAGAAAAGTTCGGAAGTTATCTTTGTTGAGAGTATCAGTCCCCAAAACAGGCCCTTCTCAATATTATCTTAAATGATAATGTCAATAGTTAACGTCTGCTACGACATTAACAATTTTTTATTATTATCCACTGATCATGAATCAGTACACAACTCCAATTCTTTGGAGAAATTAATAACATTTTATGATTATAACATTGTTTAATTATGTTATGTTAAATAAAAAATTAAATACTAATAAGAGTAGTCAGGATCATTATTGGATCTGGAATATGACATTACATTACATTTGCTGGTATTGAACAATAATTTATTCTTTATAGACCATGCATGGAGACAATCAAGATCAGATTGCAGATCCAATGGATCCTGATCACACACGTAATAGATTTATAATGCAAATAAAAGAAAAAAAGAATGATTGAAAACATTTTTAATATCGTTGATAAAAATTATGAAAAATAGTGATCCTAGAAGTGAACCTTAGGAATCGATGAATTGGTTGTTTTGAAGAAGTAATTTTCGGACAAAGAATTTTACTTATTAATATTTTTCTGCAGGATGTAATCAGCCAGCACATCTCGGGAGTTATTCTTTTCCACGAGACACTCTATCAGAATGCCGAAGATGGAACTCCATTCGTGAAACTTCTTCAGGAACGTAACATTCTGCCTGGTATTAAGGTTGACAAGGGTGTTGTGCCACTTTTCGGTAGCCTTGATGAGACCACAACCCAAGGTCTTGATGATCTTCAGGCCCGTTGTATTCAATACAAAAAGGACGGTTGCCACTTTGCCAAATGGCGTTGTGTCTTGAAAATCACCAAAGACACACCCAGTAAACTTGCCATTCTTGAGAATGCCAATGTTCTCGCACGTTACGCCTCCATTTGTCAAAGTGCAAGAATAGTGCCAATTGTCGAGCCTGAAATTCTCCCCGATGGCGATCACGATCTCGCAAGATGTCAGCAAGTCACTGAAGAAGTACTCGCTGCCTGTTATAAGGTAAGAAATTGCGGATTTAGATATTCGATAACAGTAAAATAAATATAAAGAATATTTTTTAAACTACTGATGATATTATTTGTCCGAAGGCATTGGCTGATCATCATGTCTATCTGGAAGGAACTTTGTTGAAACCCAACATGGTAACACCTGGACAGAGTTGTCCAAAGAGGGCAACACCCGAGGAAATTGCATGCGCCACAGTGACGGCTCTTCTTCGTACTGTTCCACCAGCGGTTCCTGGAATCACCTTCCTCAGCGGTGGACAGTCCGAGGAGGAGGCCTCCATCAATTTGAATGCCATCAATAGACATCCAGCGAAGAAACCTTGGGCATTGACCTTCAGTTACGGTCGTGCCCTCCAGGCTTCGGTTCTCCGCGCTTGGTCCGGCAAGAAGGATCAAATTAACGCTGGTCAGGAGGAACTCATCAAGAGAGCCAAGGTACTTAACTTATATTCTTCTATTGTCCCCAAAAATATCAACTATTAGTCGATTTTTTCTAAAATTAGAAAAATCGGTTGAAAGCAAGAAAACAATATTTAAAGTAAACTATGCCAGTTGAGTCTGTAGTGTTTTGAACTCTTGACAGAATGCTGATCTAAATTTTTCATCATTTGTGATTGGTTGGTTTTGTTTTTGGCCAAAAACAAAACCAACCAAATGGGGAAAAATTTAGATCAGCATTCGATATAAAATTGTTACTCAGGGTTTTTTAATAAAAGCTGTTCTGCAGTAACTAGAAAAGAAAAATTTCGGATCCAATATGTCGGGAATAAAAGGAATAACTTAGTAATATTGTTTTCATGCTGAAAATCGGTTTTTAAAATTAGTTTCTTAGAAAAGTTTTATATTTTTTCTTGTTTTGCAACATTTTTTTAACATATTCACCAATATCTAAATGTGTAAATAACTGACAGCTATTTAGAAAAATAGATTTTCTTTTTTAATGCAGTCACTCACGAAATGTATTTCATGTGTCATGCAAATCCTAAAAATGTTACTCAAATCATTCAGCAAAGGTCACATTGCGAATTCTCTTTTTCGTGTTTCCTTTTTCACATATTTCTCATTTTTCTAAATTATCTTCTCATTTTTTTCTCTATTTTTAATTTTTTATATTTTTAATTTTATTTCTAAGTTTAATTTTTCAGCTATTGAGTAGTTAATAATTTATTTTCTCTATGACTGCTTCGCTTATTTATTTATTTAAAAGACAATATTTTTTATTAATTTGCCATTTTGAGTATAGCTGAGATAATTAATTTTATAAAAATTGCAAAATATGTTATTTTTAGTAAAAGGGGGAATAGGTGAAATTTTTTTGAAGAACAGGGGTAATGTGGCACTTTATAAAAAGTTGATAAAAGTAAAAAATTTGAAATTCTCACTTTTTGTGTATTTTCAATACAATTTTAATTGAATTTCTCGAACGAATTAAATTATTTTTAATAAATTTTAATAAAATTCTGTAAAAGAATTGAATTACTTTCTATACAATTTTAATTAAATTTGTCAAAAAAAAATTTTTCAACATTTTAATAAAATTTCTGTAATGAATTCAATTATTAATTTTTATTGATTTTAAATAATTTAAAAATTTTAAATTGTAATTTACAATTCTTCATTTTATTTTAATTATTTAAAAAATTTTCTTTTTTTAAATTCTTTATACCTATATGAATTCAATTATTTTCAGTGCAATTTCAATTAAATTTTTCGTGAACATTTAATTATTTTCACAAATTTTAATAAAATTCTACGCAAAAACTAAATCCTAATTCAAATTCAAAATTATAAAAAGTTACAAAAATTATAACAATACAAAAATTAACATAAAAAATTGAAAATTTATTAACACAATAACTTATTAAAAATTTTGTCTTTTAAAATAAAAAATAAATTTCATAAAATTAACGCAAAATTGTGTAAAAAATAACTATTTTTATATTTTAGAATGTTAATTGAATATTATACTAATCTTATTAATACAGATTGGATTTTAAAAAGTTTCAAATTGAAGTTTTAGAAAACGTTAAGTTTTGAAAAATAAGAATTAAAAATTGTCAAAAAGTTAGTTTTTTAAAACATTTTTATTCAAATTTTTATAAAAGTTGAATTTTAGCATATATTTAGAAAAATTTTCAAATTATCGAAATTTTATGAAATTGAATTGTAAACGAGTGCTTCAGAAATATTTTAGGTGAACCTTTTTTTTAAATAATTGAATTCTTAAGCAACTTTCTCAAAAGTTATTAAAAATAATAAATTGAATTAGAGCAGAAATTTAGTTAAAAATTCAAGAAAATAATTGAATTGAAATCTTAAAAATTATTTTTGATAAGTTACAGTAACAATTCTTATAAATTGTTAAACGGAGGATTTGAAATTTTTTAAAATCTTAATTCCCATGGAAAAATAGTAATAATTAAATATTTATTTTTTAAAAAACTCGATGTTTCGAATAATTTTACAATTTTAAAGATATTCAAAAATAAATGTATTACAAAAATTTTTTTCTGTATCTAATTATTATTTTTAGAGTCGATTAAATTATTCTTTTGGGTCAGGTCTGAAGTTGATTTAAAATGGTATTTAAGATGAAAGTAAAATTTATAGTTTTTAAAAAGTGCAAAGTGTCATTTTTAACAAAAAGGGGTAATATATGTCACATTCAGTGAATATTAATGTGAAATTTAATGGTTAATTAATTTTATTTGTCTTTCCTTGAATTTTTTCTTTTTTTAAAATATTTCTTGAATTTACATAAATCGCTATATTAAACAATAATATATTTTCTGTAGTGCAAAATCTTTAAATTTTTTTATTCTCTTTGAAACTTTTGTAAAATTTATATGTTGAATTTTTAAAATTGAAAATGCGGCACAATTTTTCCCTTAGAATAAAAATTGCCTTATTTTTAGTTTTAGTTTTTTCATTGCTTGTTTTTGCATTGTGAATGTGTATTTAATAAATAATTCTTTAGGCGAATGGTGCAGCTTGCCAAGGAAAATATGTTTCCGGTAGTGTTTCTAGTAAAGCTGGAGCTACTTCTCTTTTCGTCAAATCTCACGCCTATTAAATCTTTCACATTTTCTTGTTGTCGTTCTTGTTATTTTTTTCTTATACAACGTAAGTACTGTTGACTAACATTTGTTTTTCTTTTGCAGAAATTATTTGAAAACATTTTTTTTCTTTTCTCTAAAAAAAATTACTTTTTATTTAAAGAAAATAAATAATCTAAAAAAATATTAAAAGTTCTTTTTATTTTTTTTTGAAAATTATAAAGAAATAATAATTCAGTGTTTTCAAATGGTTTTTGACAAAATTTTTATTTGATTTTTGCTATAGTTTTCTTACTTTATTTATAATTCATTTTGTTATTATTTTATTATTATTTTTTAAAATTAGTTTTTGTTACTAATTTCTTAAAACTGTAATTAATTTCCTCTTTAAATGTATAAAAACAAATTTATAAGAAAATATGTTTCTATAAATAATTAAAAGTGATTAAAAAATTTTTTTTTAATTTTCACAGGCCAACAGCGACTCAGCACTTGGAAAATATGCAGGAGGTGTAGCAGGAGCAGCAGGAGACGCAGCATTATTCGTTGCGAATCACGCATATTAAATTATTATCAAAATTAATTATAAAAAAAAATTCTCGAAACCACAAAATAATTGACTATATAAAAAAAGAAATAAGAAAATGGAAATATTTTCCTTTCAATAGACTCGGGAGGAAAACAAAATCATTTTCATATTGAATTTGTCCTTTTTTGTTTTTTAAAAATCATAATTGATCGAGATTCGATTTATTTTAACTATTTTTACTTTTCCCTCTTTCATCAATTCAAAGAGGGGGAAATTAATTTATTTACAATAATCACGATTTTAAACCAAAGTTTTAATTGTCAATTCCTCGCTTCTTGTATTTTTAATAACTTTTTTTTTTATTTTTTTTTTTTTTTTAAATACAAGTTGTGACGGTTGTTTTATTTTCTGTCCTAATTGGTAATCGCTCAAGAAATAATTGTCTTTTAAAAAAAGAAAAAATAATTAAGCCTCGATAAATTCGATTTTCGACAAGTTTCGCGAGATTTTTGCAGCAAATTATCTGTCAATAAATAATTGTTAAAAGAAAATAAATAAATATCAATTTTAGTGTACGTTGTGTCTTGAAAAAATATATTTTCTCGGCTAATATGAAATAATTAATAATTAATATTAATAATAATTATGATAATAATGATGAAGAAAACTACTCACGCGCACGTGTACAATAAATTTATGTCTTTATTGACAAAAAGAAAATTGTACATTATGAATAAATAAAAAAAACGGATAAATTCACATGTTACATTGAATGTTGTTGATTAGTCGACGAGTCGATTATATTGCATTACGAAATAATGTTAAATTATACACATATGTGAATCTTGTATTAGAGATTTTACGTCACTGATAACAGATATCTCGTACATCAATGTTATGTCTGATATTTTCATTTCAATTTAGATTATCAAATATAAAATTGTGAAGGATCAAAAAGTCTTCATTATTTGGTATTTAACATTTTTTATTCTCTTTATATTTTTCACTTTGTGAAGAAAGAAAAGAAAATTATTAAATTCTAAAAAATTTGAAATTATTGCTTTCAAATTAATTTTGTTAATATAATCATTTAAATAAAATTATAACTATATTACTTTTTTTTATACAGTTAGAATAGAATTTATCAATTAATAACTTTTCTATATAAAATAACATTGAATTAATATGAAATTATTTTTAAATCATTTTTAAATTATTCTAAAATTAACATAAAATTATAATACAAAAGAAACGGTTTGATAAATTTTCAGAAATTAAAATAAGTTAAACAAAAATAAATATTTGGTTTTTTTGACGTTTTTTTCGTCTCACTTGTGAAGAAAAGAAAAGAAAATTATTAAATTCTACAGAATTTGAAATTATTACTTTCAAATTAATTTTGTTAATAAATTAAATAAAATTAACTATATTACTTTTTTTATACAGTTAGAATAGAATTTATCAATAAAAAACTTTTCTCTATAAAATAACATTGAATAGAAATGCAATTACTTTAAAATCATTTTAAAATTAACTTAAAATTATAATACTAAAGTAACTGATAAAATTTTCAGAAATTAAAATAAGTTTAACAAAAATAAATATTTTGATTTTTTTTTTGACGATTTTTTTTTCGTTTCTCAATTTTCAGTTGAAGATAAATTTAAATTGGACCACTTTTGAATTTACTGAGGTGCTTCAAATTTTGTGGCATTTCAATTTGTTTCTTTTCCTGTTGTATTTTCTCGAGTTGTTCCTTTAATATTGCCATTTTTAATGCATGTTGCTGTTGACTACTTTGCATTTCAAGATCCCAAAGTTGCATTTTCTTTTCATGCTCAGCGGCAAGTAATTGTTGTTCCTTGGCAATTTCGGTGCTGAAATTTTTCAACAGCGTCTCTTCATAAACAGTTAATTCGCGTTTCATTTTTTTTGCCGGCACAACGTCCATGTTCTTGTCACAATTAATATTGGTGTGATGCTCACTGACAATTGATTCGATATCGGCGCTGACATTTTTCGGAGCCTCTTCTAAAACTCTGAAATCATTTTTTATTTTTTATTCTATCTAACAAAAATAAAATTCAATCTTTAAATAACTGAATCTATTAAATCAGTTTTCAAATTAAAATTTATTTTAAAAAATTCTTTAAATTAATATATTAACAAACCACAAAAAACATTCGTCTAATTAAAAATATATATTTTAAAAAAATTTTAATAAAAAGAAATTTTTAAAAGTATTTTTTATTTGAAGATTTTTTATTAAAATTTTTGAGAATTTAATTATTATCCAAATTTGCAATAAAACTTCTTCAAAAGTTGATTTTTAAAAATTTTAATAAAATAATAAAAAATCCATTACTTTTAATTAAATTTTACAAAATTTCAATTATTTAAAAATTTTTTTAATGGTGTAAAAAATTTAATTATCAATATTAAAAAATTTCGCCCAGTTTCCAAATATTTCAAATATTTTATAATCAAAACTTTAGTTAATAAAAATTTTTTTAATTCATAACCAATTATCTGAATTTTAATTTTTTTAATTCATCTCGATTAAAATTATTTTAGTTTACTTTGTATTTAATTAATCATTATTTTTAATTAAGCTTACATTGAGTTAATATAAATTTAAATTTATTCAAATATTAAAAAATAGAAAATCAAACTTTAATTTACGTATTTTTTAATTTACATTTTTGAGAACAAAAAAAAATATTTTTTTTATATTTTCTCAAACAAGGTTTTTATGAATTTCAAAAATTATGTTAACGATCAACGAAATATTTTTTTGACATAAATATTTTCAAAAATTATTTTAATATCAATAAAAAACAAAAAACTAAATTAAATATTTTCAAAGTTTATAATTTTTTTTTCAACAATTTAATAAGAATTAAAATACAAGAATTTTAGGAATTTCATTATTTGCTATTATATTTTTTTTTAATTAAATTTATTTCTAATAAAAATATTTTTCACTAAATTTATTTTTAATTCAAATATTTTTAATTAAATTTACTTTTATTTCAAATATTTAAATTAAATTTTTATTTAAATTAAGTTTACTGTTAATTAAAAAAAAATTTGTTATCAAAAATAAAATGAAAATTAAAAAATAAATAAACAAAAGCAAAATAACTTCTTACCCACTAATTGGATTTAAAATATAGAAAAATTCTGAAAGGTCGTCGTCAATTGTTCCCTGAAAAAAAATTTCAACACTCGATTATTAAACAATTCTTTCAACAATAAAAAATTATTCTCGGTTTTAGTATAAAAAAGCGAGAATAAATTTTGCTAGTAGAAATTCTACTCCCGCGTATAAATGTCAACATAACCTACAAATTGTAACATTGTGCGGCGAATGAAAAATATTGAATGAAAAGCAAAATGTCAATTGAAGAAAAACTTACCGCTAATGTGGGAAATAATGGAGAAGGTGCTTGATCACCGGGTTTTGGTGAATTTACATTTTCCAATGGTAAACCAAAGAAATGTTCATCGTTGTTGTTCAAAAAATCCTCATCACTCGGGAAATTGAAGTCATCACTGGAAATATCTTCCAAAAATGGTACGAATTCATTTTTAGGCAATTTTTTATTAGTCTCGGACATTTTTTTTTATCTTGAACAAAAGATTTTTTTTCTTTTTTTTAAGCAAAAAAAGCAATTGAATAAAAATAACGTTACAATCGTACTTGCAATCGCAAAGACGTTTTGAAAATACTTGAGAGAGTTTCTGCGCAAATACGTGCGCGCCGACCTGAAATTTTCTAAAAGCGCATGCGCGACAATATTGCCAACAAAATATTTAAAATACCAGCAAAGTCTTTTAAGTTTTAACTAATTTTTCTAATTTTTTAAAGAAATTTCTGTTAAATAATGTTTACAGTGTTGTATTTTCTCAACTTTTTATTATTGGAGTTTTTTTTCTATTTTCTGTATTTCTTTTACACTGACTTAAAAATTACGAAAATTACGCAGTTATTACCTAACCTGAGAATATAGAATCCCGCCATTTTATCAGCTGATCAAAACAACGAAAACAACATTCCAACAGTTTTTCAATTAAAGTGTGTGTTTTGTGTTTGTATATTAAATTGCGTGATGTTTAGTTTATTGTTATTAAATATAAATAAATGGTATTATAGAAAAAATAATTTCCGAACATTTAAAATAACGAGTGATAGTAATTAAAATGTTGAAGTTAATGTGTAGTAGCTATTTATAATAATATATCCTCATGGAAGAACCTGAAATTGTGGAGCACTTTTTCGGTGTTTATCTTTTGTATTCAATGAATGAAAAATACAAAGGTAGAACATATATTGGTTACACTGTTAATCCAAATCGCCGACTTAAACAACACAATGCAGGTGCAAAGTTTGGAGGAGCTCATAAAACCAGTAAACGTGGACCTTGGTAAACTTAACCTCAAAATTTTATACTTTTGACTTTTGCGAATAAAATTATTTATGTTATTTACTTTTTTTGTATCTGAGTGATTTTTATTGTAATTAATAAATGAAATTAATAAAAAAAATAATAAAAATAATAAAGAAAAATTAATAAACAAATAAAAATAAACAAGTAAAATTAACAAACAATAGTTAAAAAGAAAAATAGAAATAGAAATAAGAAAATAACATAACATAAATAAATAATAGTTTTTATTAAGCTTTTATTATTAGTTTTATTATTTTATTCATTTTATTATAGTAGTTTTTATTATTATAAATAATAAGTTTTATTTTATTTTCGTATATCTTTTTCCAGGAAAATGGTATTAATTGTTCATGGATTTCCAAGTTCTACTTCGGCATTAATGGTATTATTTTGATTTTTTGCTTTAAAAAATACTGAATAAATAATAATTTTTAAATTAAATTATAAATGTGATTGAAAATATTTATTATATTAAAATTTTACAACGTAAACTTTGTATTAACTGCATGTGACTTAGATTAAAGTGCTCTTGGTCTTATTTTAAAGCTGAAAGTTCAAACTTTCATTTAAATTTTTCTAAACACTTTTCTAGAAGTTGCAGCCAATCAAAGTTCGACAATGAAAATTCACTGAAAACGAAAGTTACACATATTTTTATCACTTCATATCTCCGATTCTATTTATCAAAAATTCTTGGGCATAGGATCATTTAACGGCAAATTTAATAAACTTTTCAAAATTCTCTTAAAAGCCTTTCTACGTTAATATTTAACGAAGTTATCAACATTTAAAGAATGTCATGTTTTCAGGCTTCGTACTGGATAATTAGTTTTAAAAAGATAGCAATAAGTAGCTTTAAGACTGAAATAAGAAGTTAAAAAATAACTATCGAAAAATTAAACTTGACGACTCAATTTTTTTTATAATTTCTAAAGTACATTCAAAAATAGAATAATTTTTTAAAATAAATATTCCCCTATTTATTTTGCCTACAGAAATGTAAATATTTCAAGTAATTTCAATGTAAAGCATTTTTGAAATTTAAAAATTTCTAAAAATTACAAAAGTAGCTCCTTCAAAATTTAATCATTTTTTTGTTGAAATTTATAAATTAAATTATTCAAAACTTTAATCATTTTATTATATTCAATTCTAAATCAATTCTTATTAGGAAGTTCTACGAGAATGAAATTATTTAAATAAAGAAATTAAAAATTTATTGAATAATTAAATATTTCTTAACTTTGAATTCTTATGAAGAACTTGAATACAAATTTTTAAAAATAATTGAATTTTTACGAAGAATTTCATTAAAATTTTTGATAATAATTAAATTCATCCAAGAAATGTAATTAAAAATGAATTGAAAAAAATGCTTATACTCTAAAAACAAATTATATCAAATTTTTTTAAATAACTGAATTTTTTCGAAGAATTTTATTAAAATTGTTAATAACAATTGCATTTTTAGCGGAATTAGTTTAAAATTATTTTAAAAATAATTGAAATCCTGCTATGAGCTTTATTATTTATGAAAATAATTGAATTTTTGACACGAATTTTAATAAAGTTTTTAAAATAATTAATTGCATTCTTGAGAAGAATTTTAAAAAATCTTTTTAAATAATTGATTTTTTTCAAAAAATTTTATAAAAATTTTGTTTTAAATAATTGAATTTCTTTGAAAATTGTATATTATTTATGAAAATAATTGAATACTTATAATATTATAATAATTCTTTAAAATAAATCATTAAATTCTTGCAACGATTATTATTAAAATTTAAAAAAATAATTTGATTCCTGAGCTAAGAATTTTATTATTTATAAAAATAATTCAATTCTTGCAAAGAATTTTATAAAAATCTATTTAAATAATTGATTTTTTTAAAAAAATATTATGGAAATTTTGTTTTAAGGAATTGAATTCATGTGAAAAATTTTTTATTTATGAAAATATAATTGAATGGTTGTCAAGAATTTTCTAAACATTTTTTTTAAATAATGGAATTTTTTACGAAGAATTGAATTAAAATTTTTGATAATAATTAAATTCATCCAAGAAATGTACCTAATTAAAAATGAATTTTTAGCAGAATGAATTTAAAATTATATTGAAAATAATTGATATCCTGCTATGAGTTTTATTATTTATGAAAATAATTGAATTTTTGACACGAATTTTAATAGTTTTTAAAATAATTGCATTCTGAAGAAGAATTTTTAATTAATTAATATATTTTAATTAAAATAATAGAATCGTTTAAAAGAATTTTATTAAAATTTTCTTAATTATTTCCAATAATTTTGTTAAAATTTTTTAAAATAATTTTTTTATTTCAACTGTTATAACAAATTTAAAGTTTTATTAATATCGATTATTATATGTTTATTTAGTTTGAGTGGGCCTGGCAACATCCAGCTTCGAGTCGACGATTAAAACACGTGAAACGACGAAAAAGTCGGCAAAAATTATTCGATTATTGTCTCGATGTACTGACAGAGATGTTAAACGTCGGTCCCTGGTGCCGTTTACCATTGACAGTGAGATTTTTCGATGACGATTTCTACACGAAGTACATGTCAATTATTTCACCGCCATTGCATATGCCAATAACACAAGGACCAATAATTCCCAAGAAACTCGGCAGTAACGTAAAAAAGAAGAAAAAGAAAGAAAGGAAAAAAAAAGGTAAAAAAATACAAAATGAAACAAATGATATTTCACTAGGTGAGACAAATGAATTTCATCAAATAACACCAATGAAATATAATTGTCATATTTGTTGTTTGCCAATAATTGACATTGGAGATAAAATAACTTGCGTTCAAGAGGGATGTACACTTGTCGCTCACATTATTTGTCTTGGCAAATCATTTTGGAAGGATGACGGAATGCTGTTGCCAATAAATGGAATTTGTCCCGTTTGCAATACTGATGTTCTGTGGGGTGATTTAATACGAAAAATGATTGGTTGCAATTTACACTTGACAGATGATCCCGAATTAATTGAGAGTGCAGCGAAAAATTTAATCATTCTATCGGACGAAGATTCCGATTTTGAAAAATAGAAGTTTCAAATATTAAATAGAAAACCGGGAACTAGGGATTTCTCTAAAATACGAGTCAATTATGGGGGGAAAAAATTAAATTTTTGTACATATAATTATTTTTTAGGAAGAAATTTTTTTAATTGAATTTTTTAATTTATTTCGTGATTTTTTATTTAACGATAAAGACAATATTTTTTGGTACAAGATGAGTAGCATCCTGTGAGTGTTTTTAAATAATAAATAAAATTATGTTTATGTTTAACAATGTGAATTTTTTTTAAGAAACAAAAAACTTTGCTAACAAACAAATTTTATATTTCCCAGAATTTTTATGAAAATTTCCTAAGAAATTTCACCTTCCGTGACCTGTGGTAATCTTGTATATAATCTTAAAAAAAATTTCTAAAAGTACCTAGTATGTAAATTTTAAAACATAAAAACGAAGTTTAAAATGAATTAAACCAATTAAAGAATGACTAAAATTTAAATAAGAGAATTTGAAAAAAATTTAAATAATGAAAGAATATTTTTTACGAAAAAACAAAAATATGAAATATTATTCAGAGTGAAAGAAAAAAAAATGATTGGTTCGATTGAAAAAAAATTTAAGTTTCAATGTAAATGTTAATAGACCACAGACACCACAAGCATTTTTTTTTAAATTTCGTTTCGATTCTTCTGAAAATAATAAATAGGACGCACGTACAAAATTGTAACACGCCTCATTGAATATGTTACGTATGTAGAGCGGAAAAGCATTTTTCATAAAGAAAAATTAATTTATCAAGAATAACTCGCAAAACATTCGTGGGGTGAAAATAACGATTAAAATTTTAAAGTATACAAATATTAAGGTCTGTCAACGGCATAAATTTTATTGTTTCTTTGCTTACATCTAGAGGAAGAAAAAGTGGAATGATTGGTGGAAAGAAATTATAGGTGAATTTTCTTCCATACCACATTCGAAAGTAAAACAGGTTTTTTATTTACATTTTTAATTGTACTTTTTTGACATATTTCGATGTTATTTTACCCTAGAAGTCCAAAAATTAATGCAAAAACTCTAAGCGTTCTATACCTATGCTGAAGGCATTACTGCAGAAAGATGAAAGATTGTGGAGTTAAAAAAAACTATTTCCTCATAAAGTTTTTTAATGTTAAACAATTTTTATGAAAATAGTGTTTCTACTTTATAAAGACATATATTTTCTACTAGGTATTTGGATACTTATTTTTATTTGATACTTTTAAAAGCTACTTTTTTGCATGTTTAAGAATTTACATTACTTTAAAATTCGTTAACTGTTGAAATAAAAAATTATTTTCAAAAATTTTAATGAAGTTATTGGAAAAAAATCAAAAAATATTAATAAAATTCTTCAAAACGATTCAATTATTTTCACAAATTTTTCGTAATTCAATGATTTTTAATATCAACTATTTTAATAAAAAGAAATTTCTCAAACGAGTTGAATAATTTAAAAAAAATGTTTATAAAATTCTTCGCAAGCATTCAGTTATTTTCATAAATAAAAAAATTTTCACAGTCATTCAATTATTTAAAACAGAATTTTCCTAATACTTTTTGATAAAAATAAATTATTTAAGTAGATTTTTATAATTAAATTCTTCGCTAGAATTCAATTATTTTTATAAATATAATAAAATTCTTCTCAGAAATTCAATTATTTTAAAAATTTTTAATAATAATCAAAGGAAATGAATTTATCATTCGGAAAAATTGTTAACTTATCTTTCACCTTTAATAATAATCGTTTTAATATAATTTAAAATTAATTCCGCTAAAAATGCAATTATTCCTAAAAATTTGAATAAAATTCATCGAAAAATTTCAATTATTAAAAAAAATTTGATGTAATTTATTTTTTAGAGTGTTATAATTATTTTTAATTCATTTTAAATTACATTTCATGGATGAATTTTATTATTATTAAAAATTTTAATGCAATTCTTTGTAAAAATTAAATTATTTCAAAAAATTTTGTTTATGTTCTTTATAAGAATTCAAAGTTAAGAAATATTTAATTATTCAATAAATTATTAATTTTTGTATTTAAATAATTTCATTCTCGTAGAACTTTCTAATTAGAATTGATTTAGAATTGAATATAATAAAATGGTTTAAGTTTTGAATAATTTTATTTATAAATTTCAACAAAAAAAATTATTGAATTTTAAAAGCATTAATACCAAAATTTTTCGAGTTCGATTTTTTGACATATCTTAATATGATATTTGACCTCAGGAGTTCAAAAATGACATTTTTAAAAAATGTCATTCCGTATGTGTGTGTGTGTGTGTGTGTGTGTGTGTGTGTGTGTGTGTGTGTGTGTGTGTGTGTGTGTGTGTGTGTGTGTGTGTGTGTGTGTGTAAACATCACATTTTCATAAATATCTCGAAATCATGAAGAGCTTTTGGGTTGAATTTTTTTTAAATTGTAGATCTCACCTGCGGACATAAAGTGAGAGTATTTGTGATAGATTAATAAAGTTTAACTAATTTTTTTTGGATTTTTAATTTTGCAACAAAACGTTTTTTGCCCATAACTTTAAAAAAATGTTAGGACACCTATAAATGTTTTTCCATAATTTTGTAGAGTTTTTTTAGACGCATCTTTTGAGCCCTAATTAAACATTTTTAGTCCATAATTACCGGAGATATTAAACTTTTAAAAATCAAAAATTTTGAAAAATAAGACTTTTTTGAAGATTTTGTTGAAAAATGTAGAAGTAACTTTAAAATTATCGTTACCAACTTGTAGAGCATTAAAAAACGCTTCGATTGACCTATTTTTGAACCTAATTCGATGATAAATTTTGAAATTATTGGTATGTATTTTAAAAACCAAAAATTATTGAAAATGACAGTTTCTCAACTTTTTTGTTTGAAAAATTTTGTTTAACTATTAAACTATTATAACTATCTTGTAGGGTATTTAAAAATACATTGATTGACTCAAAATTCAATCAATTTTACCATATTTATAAAAAGTTATTCATATATTTCTATTATTATTATTATTATTATTATCTTTATGAGGATGCAAAGTGTTCATGAAATGAGCACCAAAATTATAAAAAAATATACAACTTGGCAGCGGTTTTTTTGAATGTAATTTAGAAATTATAAAAAAAATTGAGTCGTCAAGTTTAATTTTTCGATAGTTATTTTTTAACTTCTTATTTCAGTCTTAAAGCTACTTACTGCTACCTTTTTAAAACTAATTATCGAGTACGAAGCCTAAAAACATGACATTCTTTAAATATTGATAACTAATTATAAATTAGTCGTGTTGTTTTTTTTCGGCTTTTTTTTAAAGGGAATTTAAAAAAAAACTTGAAGTATAGAAATTAATTTTCTATGCGGACAAATATATTCCTTTTTATTTGAGAAAATAAAATTAAGTGGATCAGGGTTGCTTTTCCTCGTAACAATTATTTATAAATCTATTTTCTCTATACTGATTTCTCTGTCTCTAATAAATATAGCTCACAATTCCGAAGAAGAAAAGGATTAGAGAAATCTTTGTGTGATTATACCTACATTTTTTTTTCTTCTTCTTCCCCATTTACAAGATGCCAGTTGAAAGCAATATTTCCCTTTTTGATATGACTAATAACATACACACACGCAATAGATTCCATCATTATATTATAATGCGATAATATACCTATATTTATATATTGTATATATAGTGAAAGAGTACGCGTTCATTTGAGGAAGTCATTTAGCGCCATAAAACGTTTACGTCTGTCATGGTGAGAAGATTATAATATAATATTAAATACGAATTTCAATATTAGCGTTTATGATTGATTAATAATACATTATTAAATTAATTTTAATTTATGACTATAATAAATAATTGTCTAATTAAAATTAGTTTTTTATTAATGAATTATAACTGAGTCCCCAATTTTTTCATAGTGTTTTAATTTTTAAAAGTTCAATAATAAAAAAATTAGAAAATTCTAATGCCAGTACTTTGCGTTTTCCAATCTTCATATCCAAAAGTTTTTTTTTATATCATTAAGGAAGTTTTTCCCAAAGTTTCAAATCTGAAGAATTTACCAAAAAATAGTATTAAAAGTTATATTTTTTATCATAATGCCTACTTTTATGTATTGTTCATAATGTAGACATCGTTTATTCTTTTTTTTTCATTTCGAAGGAGATACTGTTATTAGAATTTAATTAAGAAATTCAAAACAGGCTTATAAATTCACTATTCATATGATAGATATATTTGACACCGTTAATTTGTATCAGTTTGCCATTTAATTGGGACACACACGTTTATATTCCGAACCGTTATAGTGTGTCACACGTGGTTAAAATCAGATGGTTTAAAAAAAATGAATTTAACTTGTATCAAATTAATTAATCTCACTTTTGTATACAATAATTTATTTTCGACTTTTATTAGTTCAAATGTTTTTTTAATATAATTAATATATCTTTCTTTTTGAGAGATTAATCTTAGCTTTTTTTGAAAAAATTTTGAAACTTTCGAAAGTCATTTAATGTTATACTTTTCGATTCCACTTGATAACAATTTTTTCTTTTTCTTTATAAATTCTAATAGAAAATATATTGATTATATTCGATAAATAAATTTTTCTGTTTAAAAATAATTCATGAATTAAATGTATTCTTTAATTATTTAAATAAATTTATTTATTGAATATTTTTTCCATTTATTTTATAATATTTTATAATATAATGTTATCAGTTGCTGAGAAGGAATGAGACAATATTTAAAATTTTTAAGTTGTTTATTACAAAATTAGTTTTAAAAATGGATTTTCAAAATCCTCTCAATCTTAGAGTAGAAAATTGTACAATATCTTTCTTAGAGTAGAAAATTGTACAATATTATTATTTACATTGCTTAAATAAATTCTAGTTCTTTTTTCACTATGGAAAGGAAAGTTGAAAATCAAGTAAAATAAATACAGAAAATTGAGTAAATATTTAAACAACGGAATTCAAATTTAAAGGGGTAAACTTTACAATATTGAAAGATAAATATTACAAGTACAACATTTAGAAAATACAAAAAATATATATAAATAAACTTTACAAGTAGAAAAAAAAACGAAAAGTATAAATATTTCGGAGAAAAATAATACAAAAGTGGAATAAATACTTGAAAGGTAAATTGATTAATATAAAAATAAAATAAATATACCTATAAAGTAAAATAAATATTAAATTATTATTGCAAAATGTGCAGAATAAATATTGACAATATTCAAAACCTATCAAAAACTATAAAAATAATAAATATTAACTAAAAAAACATAACTAACATAAATATTTAAAAATACATATCTACATTCGTTTCTACTATCTTTCTCAAAAGAAAAATTATTTTTCAGTCGTTAAATTTGATTAACATACAATGGCATTTCATTTTCAAAATTATACAATTGATTTTTCAAAAAAAAAACTATTCCAATTTTTAAATTTTTCTTATTTTGCAGGAAATTAACTTCTAGATTTTTGTTTTTAAAATAGTCCAGGAATAAATTCTTCTTCATAATCATCGTAGTCTGATCCAGGTGGTACGAATGCTCCATTCATGAATGATGCTAAACTTTCGCCCCATCCCATTGCCGAAGCAATTCCAAAAACTAATCTCATTAATAAAAGACGAAAAAAATTTGCCGTCGATGTCTCTTTACTTTGTAGGGCCACAAATTTTGCCTTTTTATTGCCCTCCACATGGCAAATCTGTAAATGAAACAAAGAAAGAAAAAATAAATAATATAAAAGGTGCGAGTAAATTATTTTTTTTTTTACTATTTCCAAAACAAATATTTATTCTTAGAAAAAATTAAATTGGTTTTGAATTTTAATTTACTTAACGGAATTTTCGTTTAACGGAGATAAGTTATAATTAAATATTGACAAAATAATTTGGTTGCTTTTTTTGAAGAATGTTGGCCTATTTTATAACTATACATTTTATTATTGGAAAGAAAGGGTCCAAGAATTTACAGTTTTATGAAAATGAGTCATTCCGTGAAAAGTTGAAATTAATAAGAAAAAGAAATTCATAATTTATCGATTATTTTTATTTTGAAATTTTTTTGTCTTTCTATCTGCAAAAGAAAACAATGTTTGGAAATCAAAAATTACAGAAAAAAAAAGAAAAAAACGTGTTAAGTTTTTTTATTAATAATAATATAATAATTTTTAAATTGTAAAATTGCGATATTTTTATTTATTTATTTAACAAACTACAAGCAGTTTTTTTTATCATTTCTATAAATTCAACAATTATTTTTTTAACTTAAATAACAGTCATAAAACTGAATTCAAATATATATTGACATTGCCAAAAAATAAAAAAATTAAAACAAATATTAATTTTTCATTTTTTAATATTTAATTATAAAATTTTCAATATTTGAATTTTGTAAGACATTTTTTTGAAATTAAAAATATTTTTTTTAACATGGCATGATTTATATTATAATAAAATTTGCAAAACAGTAAATTAAAGAAATTATGAAAAAAAAATTGAAATAAATTAACCTTTTGTTGACATGCTTATTTTTTGACTGTTTTTTGACACACAATTGACACACTAGGTCAAATTGACCTAAATTTTATGCCATTTAAATAACACTTTAGTTCATTTTTTTTACTAAAATTAATAATTATACTTCTATTATTCTTATTGTTTTGTATTTTAAATATTTTATATTAAGATTAAAAATATTCATTTAAATTTTTAGAGAAATTATTTTATAAAATTGTTGATGTACTGCAATTTATAGAACATGCGCCTCATTCGTTTTATTAAATTAAAAAATTTTTTTTTTGATCTTTTATAAAATGAAAGAAGAAATAATTTTTAATTTAAAAGGAACTTTTATTTTAAAACAAAAATTTAATTTAAACATTTTTAGTTTAAAAACAATTTTTACTTTATTTTTAAAACCAATAAATTTAAACTTAATTTTAAAAAAAATTTTTTCACAATAATTGAATTCTTGATATTAATTTTTACTTAATTATTATTAATTGATATCTACAAAATTGCATTGCATTGAATTTTAAAAACAAATATTTAAGTCAAATTTATTTTCTATGAAATTTTATTACATAATGAAAAATAAAGGTTTGAAATTTCATAAACTACGTTACTCAATTAGTAGCTCTCGAGATCACCGCTCTTCGCATCAAAACAAAGTCCGTTAAAAATTAAAAAGCTTTCTAACATAAATCTTTATTTTGTTTTAAAAGAAATAACAAACAAATGTTAAAAGCAATAATTTTATAAAATTGATTTCCGAAATATTAAATTTTTAATATATTTTTAAATTCATAAAAAATGTTCTTTTATTCAATATTTGATGATAATAATATAATTATAATATTGCCCTTTCTGTCTATATATATGTTTTTATTTTTTTTATTTTTATTTATTTTATTATCTATTTATTATTATATTGTTATTTATTTATATAATAAAATAAGTAATAAGAATAATATAATAATAATAATAATATTAATAACAATAATAAAATTAATAAAAATAATAATAAAATATTAAAAATGAAAAGAATCAAGAGTTTCATAAAATTTATACAATAAAAAATATAATTATGAAAAAATAAATGAATTAAATTTTATTTATAATTTTTTAAATTCCATACCTAATTTAAATTAAATTATGAATGTTAAAAAATGTTAGTAAATATAAAATTAATTAATAAAAAAGTATTTGTTTTCTTACACTCAGAATAATTAAAAGACTTCCAATTATCGTAAATCTCAGCAACATGTTTTCAATTTTTTTAACTGTAATTTTTTTGAAGCACTTTTTCACTGAAAATGTTTTCACACTCAATTGTCTCTCACTATCTTTATAACAATTACAATACTGTCATCGTGTTTTTATTTTAAACTCGGGACTTTTTAATTTTTTTTTCACAATTTGTATAAACAAATTTTTTTTATTTATTGAAAGTAATTTCTTTCTTTTTTTATTGAAGAAAATAAAATTAATTTTATGTAAAACAAAATTTTTTTTATTTATTTATATGTACAATTGAATATTGTCTTGTATTTTTATATTTATTTTGTATTAAAAAAAAAAAAATTTCAACAATACACATTGAATTATTGTTGTTGACTGTTGAAAGCGTGAATATCAACTGCGGTAGTATTTTATTGCAGAATCACGGAAGTTGATCTTTTTTTTCTGTTGTTGCGTATTTGAAGTGAACATTAACGATAGTAAAGGCAGGCCGAAAGTGCGATTGGCTGTTCAGTGAAGACAGGGACAAGCAACTGGACGTGATATTCAAGAAGAAGAAGAAGAGACTCGAGTTATTTCTACGATAACGGTAAACGACGAAAAACAGCATTCAGGCCAATTCGATATTTCATTTTTTTTTGTTTCTTCATTTATTTTACTAGCTCGAAAACCAATGGACTTTGAAACTTTCAATTTCGAGATAAGCACTTTGAAAAATTTACAAGTCAACAGACTATGTGCCTGCAGCATCCGAACGGTCTCGTGAGATACTTCTGGATAATTCGCCAGTGTTGGTAATATTTGTTTTCCCTGCAGGTTATACTATTTTGTGCCTATATCATTTTAACAAATTTTTTTTCATAAATTCTTATCATATTTCAAAAGTGTTGTCATACATATTATATATCACTTTTTTTAATGATATCAAATTGAGACAAAAAAGGAACCAAAAGTGTTGCGCTGCAACACTTTTGATTCCTTTTTTGTCTCAATTTGATATCCTTAAAAAACTGTGGATTTTATTTTTGTTATCGAAATGATTTCTAATGTATTTAGTGTATTTTAAGATGCAGGTTGCCATGGTAACGTACAAGAGTGAAAGAGATAAAACAACTATACCTACGAAGAGTAATAAAACTTTTCCTCATTTTATTTTGTTACTAAAGAAAATGCAGCCGCAGATCCGTCTTCCAAATAAAAAGAAAAACAATTTTTTGTATTTAAATAAATTATGTTTATAATGAGTGAAAAATGTTCTACTTAAAAAATATAAAATTTTTAAACAATGGATATGAAAGTGATTTAAATTATTATCTTAAAAGAATATTAAATCTTATTATTTATTTATTATTAGGTACTGAAAATGAACAAAAATTTAGAAAATTCTCAAAAATTATAATCAAATTCTTTAAAACGATTCAATTATTTAAAAAAAAAAAAAATCGAAATTCAATTATTTTCAATATTGAGTATTTTTATAAAATTTCGCAAAAGAATTCAATTATTTTTTTAAAAAAATTGATAAAATTTATCCAAAATTATAAATTATTTTTATAAATATAAGTTTCCACGGGAATTCAATTAATTTAGAATAGCATTTTCATAAAAATTTCGAAAAAATCGATTATTTAACAAAATTTTTCACAATAATTTAATTACTTTCACTAATATATATATAATAACATTTTTTATGAAAATTCAATTTTTTAAAAAAATTTTTGATAAAATTCTAAGCAAAAATTCAATTACCTTTTTTAATAAATAATAAAACTCATCGAAGAATTTCAATTATTTTCAATACTATTTTTAATTAATTAATGGAAAAATTCAATTATTTTCACAAATAAAATTTTCCACAAGAATTCAATTATTTAAAATAAAATTGACATAATATTTATTATACTTCGAAAAAATTAATTATTTTAAACAATATAAAATTCTTATGAAGAATTCAATTATTTTCAAAAGTAACAAAATTTTTCACTAAAATTTAATTCTTTTTAAACATTTTAATAAAATTATTCACAATAATTTAATTACTTTCACTAATAATAACATTTTTTATGGAAATTCAATTTTTAAAAAAAATCTTTTGATAAAATTCTAAGCAAGAATAGAATATTGCAGGATTTAAATTATTTTTAATACAATAATTTTACAGGAATTGCTTAAAAAATGTAATTATTCTTAAAATTTTAATTTCAATTTCTCGAAAAAATCAATTATTTAAAAAAATATTTTTTTAAAATTTTTTGGAAGAATTCAATTATTTACAACAATATTAAAATTTTTTACAACACTTCTATTTTTTAAAAATATTTTAATAAAATTGTTCGAAAACAATCAATTTTATTTTAAATTCAATTTTAATTAAATTTTTTTGAAATAATTAAATTCTTTTTTTAGATTTTAATTAAATTTTTCCAAGAATTCAATTATATTTTCATTAAATAATTCTTCAAAAGAATTGAATTATGTCGATAAATAAAAAAATTATCCTGGAAAATCCAATTATTTAAAATAAATTGTTTATAATACCTATTTATTACATTTCGAGAAAATTAATTATTTTAAACAATGTTTAGAAAATTTTTATAAAGAATTCAATTATTTTCAAAAATAACAAAATTTTTCACAGAAATTCAATTCTTTTTAAACATTTTTATAAAATTTATCGCAATAATTCAATTATTTTCATAAATAATGAAATTCTTCTCAGGAATTCAATTATTTTTGAAAATTTTAGTAAAATTCTTAGCCACTATTCAATTATTTTCATAAACAATAAAATTCATCGCAGGATTTCAATTATTTTTAATACAATTTTACAGGAATTGCTCAAAAAATGTAATTATTCTTAAAAATTCAATTTCAATACCTCGAAAAAATCAATTATTTAAAAAAATATTTTTTTTAAATTCGTTGGAAGAATTCAATTATTTACAAAAAGATCAAAATTATTTTTGACAGGAATTGAATTATTTTCAAATATTTTAATAAAATTGTTTGAAAGAAATTAATTATTTTAAATTAATTAATTTTAATTAAATTTGTTAGAAATAATTCAATTATTTTGAGGCATTTTAATAAAATTCTTTGAAACATTCAATTATTTTCATAAATAACAATATTCATCACAAGAATTCAATTATTTTTAAAAGTAATAAATTTCTTTTTAGAACTTCAATTATTTTAAAAAATTCTAATAAAATCGTTTGCAAGAATTCAATTCTTTCATAAATAATAAAATTCTTTTGAGGAATTCATTTATTTTCAAAAAAATTTAATAAAATACCACACAGACATTCAATTATTGTCAAAAATTTTAATAGAATTCTTTGTAAAATTTAATTATTTTTAAAAACTTTTCGCAATTTAATGATTTTCAACATAGGTATTTACTATTTTCATAAGATTTCCAAACAGAATTCAATTATTTCAAAATTGTTTGTAAAAATCTTCGTAAAAATTCAATTCTTTTCATGAATATGTAATAAAAATTTCTCAGGAATTCAATTATTTAAATTAAAATGTGCATAAAATTAGTCGAAAGAAATCAATAGGGGAGAGTGGGGCAAAGGCGCTATGCGGGGCAAAGACGTTTTTTAAAATATCTCCTTTATTTTCTGTCTATTCCAATTGGTATTAAAAATTAAGTTGCAATGCAATCAGACCAATTGATTAAAAAAAAAGAAAAACCTAAAAATATCAAATATTTTAAGAAATATAACAAAAAAATTGTTTTGGAAAAATAAAATGATAATTTTACTGAACAAACTTTTATTTTTTAAAACATAAGTTTATAAGTATTTAATTTTTAAAAACGTAACATGTAAATAAATTAAATATTTCTCTACACAACTGGCGTGGTGTTATAGTTTAATTTTGTATCAAAATATTTTAAATTTAAAGTAAAAAAAAAGTTTCTTATGTGGGGCAAAGGCAATATTGAACATAATTTGGTTAAAAACAATTGAATATTCGAATTTTCTATGTATTAATTCACAATATAAGGTTAAAATCACTAAAAGCTTTTATTTTTTATTTAAATAGTTTAATTCTTTTAATAATATGTTGTTAACCTTAAGTTTCGTAAATATTATACTAATAAATATCACTTGTTAATTTTTTTACGGCTTATAAATGCTTTCTTTTAGAAATATAAGCGAAAACGTCTATTAAAATTTCTTGTTGATTAGTTTTAGAATAATGAAAAACAAAGACCGCATAAATTAATTGCTTAATTTAAAAAATATACATCGATAAATGTAAACCTAGCGCCTTTGCCCCACTCTCCCCTAATTATTTAAAAAATTTTATAAAATTCTTCGCAAGAGGATTTTTTATTCCTAAGGTTAAATTACACTGATGTGTTTTTCCCAATATTGAAATATGAAAATGCAAAAGAAAATTATACTATAAAATTGCTGCAATTTTTATTGGACGCTTTTATGCTAGTATATATATATATATGTGGGAAAAATTATAAACATGGAAAAAATGAACATCAAGATACAATATACATATGTAAATACAGATTCATTTGACGTAGGAGGCTACTAAAAATTAATTAAAATTATCATGAGGAAATTATCATAATTATATAAAAGTGTGTCGATATAAGTATGCCTCTTTCGGTATCACCGTTAGACAAGATATTCTCAGCGAAATTGATATTTTTTTTTTGCATGTCTTTTAGTTTCAGTTAAATATATAGTTGATACATGTTTTATTATATGATTTAAATTCAAATATATTCTTCCTTTCTACTAAAATGTCTACTTCTAATTTATAAGAATCATAATTTATATATTCTTCATCAATTTACATTTTTTTTTACTATCATTTACTATTGAATAAATGAATTCTCAACTTTGATAAATCCCCATTCAGAATCAAACGAAAGGGATAAAAAAAAATAATTTTTTCTTGGAATTTGAAATTATATTAAATATCCAAAATTGTACAATAAAGTTGACTGTCTCACGAATCAGTTATAGTATATGTAATAGAAAATTTTGAGATAGCATCGCGAATTGCTCGCTGCTGCTACTGCTATTATCGTTCATTGCTATAATTACTAAAAGAAAGGACAGCCTAGAAAAAATGATGATTTATACCTTTGAATTCTTCAAGACAGATTTATCTCTCGGGGGGAAATTGAAGTAGCTGCTTCTCACATATAACAACATGTTATTTCTTATAATATGAAAAGTACACACGGTCTATAAAAAACTATATCTATATATATTTAGTATACATTCCACTTTGTAGAATATATTTGCAATTCAGGAGGAAAGCGCGTTAAAATAGTATTTCTTCACTGAATTGTGTGATATTTGTTCTGAACTTTGTGAATAACGACGCATAAGCATAAGGATTTATTTGTAAAATATAATGTACCACTTGCGAGAATCTAGGATGATTCGACAGTTTTCCGGCCTTGATGATGGCAGAAAGAACACAAAAAAGAATATATATGTAAGAGATATAATGATTGATTGACAATAATCGAGATGAAAGTTTTAAATATACGATAATAATGAGAAGAGAGTTTTATATTATCTCTAACAAAAACAAAACACATGGTAATTTTCAATTATTTTCGCTTTTGAATTTTTTTTTACAATGTACATAAAATCATTTTTTGTATCCAATTTTCTTTATAATAGTTGAACTCGAATTCTTAATTTTTTTCATTATTTTCTATATGGTGAAGGAGGAATGTAATGAAGGAAATTTTTCACTAATGGTGAAAGGAAACCATTTTTTTTTTGCTTAATTCCATCTTATTTTCTAATTTTCTATTCTTTTATTATATGTCAAAGTCATTTTATATATATATCTATGTTAGAGAAGAAAAGGAAATAATAAGAACTATTTAAAATTTTCGATAAGCATGAAAAAAGTGTATATTTAAAATTTGTTATAAAATTCTTTATATGATGAATTTAATTATTCTCAGTGCAAATTCAATTAACATTTTTGAAATATTTTAAATATTTTTCATAAATTTTAATAAAATTCAATGCAAAAATTAAATTATTTCAGATTCAAAATTATAAAAAGTTACAAAAATTAATCTAAAAAGTTATGAAAAATGTTATCCTTTAAAATAGAAGAAATTTTATAAAATTAACGCAAAATTGTGAAAAATAAATTAGTTTATAAATTTTTTTTTGCAATAATATTATCACAAAATTTATTCTCTAAATTTGAATTATAGTAAAAGTTTTGAACTAATTCAAACAAAATTTATATGAATATTCGCGAAAATTAATATTTAGTAAATTCTTCCGCACAATTATTTAATAAATTTATTTTTTTGATTTTTGGAAGACATATGAAAGGTAAAAAACCTTCTATTTTACCTTTTATACGTCTTCCGAAAATCGAAAAAATTAATTTATTAAAATTCTGTTTTTCTTAAAACTAAATTTTAAAAAAACCATATTTTGCATTAATATTAATTAATTTTTCTACAATAATTTATATAAGTAACTATTTTTATATTTTAGAATGTTAACCGAATTTTACTAATCTTATTAATATGTTGAATTTCAAAAAGTTTCAAATTGAAGCTTTTTAGAAAAGTTGATTTTAAAAAAATTTGAATTAAAAATTCCCAAAAATGTTACTTTTTTGAAACATTTTTATTAAATTTTTTTTTTAAATTAGTTGGATTTTTGAATATATAATTATTTAGAAAAATTTTCAAATTATCGAAATTTCATGAAATTGAATTGTAAACAAGTGGATTTTAGAAATATTTTAAGTAAACATTTTTTCTGTAATGAATAATATTGAATTACTAAGGAACTTTCTTAAAAATTATAAAAAATAATTGAATTAGAACAGAATTTTAGTTAAAAATTTAAGAGAATAATAATAATTGAATTGAAATCTTAAAAATAATTTTGGAGAAGTTATAGTAAAAATTCTTAAAAATTATTAAATTTCAAAGGATTTGAAATTTGTCATTTTTTAAAATCTTAATTCATGTAAAAATAATAATAATTAAATATTTAAAAAAAAACTTGATGTTCCGAATAATTTTACAATTATATAAGATATACAAAAATAAATGTATTACAGACATTTTTTTGTGTATTTAATTATTTTTAGAGTCGATTAAAATATTATTCAGAAAAAAGTCTAAATAAAATAAAAAATGTTATAAAATGAAAAAATAAAATAAAAAGTCTAAGGAAAATAAAAATTTTGTAAAATATAATAAAAAGTCTGGAAATCAGGAAAAAAAATGAAATTTTTATGTTAACCCTGTTAATATATATAATAATTATAGATATTTAACTTCAAATAAAGTGATATATAAATCGATAAATTGATGAATTCTGCTCTCGATATAAATATTTAAAATTCATTCTTCCATTCAAATATATATAAAGTATATATGTATATACATATGTATAAAGTTGTGAAGACAGATACGAAATAGACAGGATATTCTGATGGTAGACCGGACGCAACAGTCCTGGAATACTCAAACAGTTCCAGAAATTAAGGAAACACCTATTCAATCGATGACGTTTACACACTTAACTTTAAAGATTGAAATTTTCGATAAAAATTTCTCACTTTTCGAAAAATCTAATAAAAATTAGAATTAGTTTTCAATTTTTCATCGCATCGTTTAAAAATCATTAGAGTGCGCCTTAATGTGCATCAATTACTGCGTTGTCTGCATTTTTAATTTCTATATAAATATATCCAGAATATATAAAGAAAATTTGAAAAATTCCACTGTGAAAGGAACCTATAACATTAGGCTCAGTTTTCCATACAAAGAGCACGGAAAACTGAGCCTAATGTGATTTCGGAATCCCTTTTATCGTGGAGCGTCACATCTTTCTTCAATTGCAAGTTAAATGTACAAAATATTTATAATAAAGTAAAATTTAGAATGTAGTCAATTTGCATTTAATTTTTTAAGGAAAAACGTTATTTCACTATAATTGTCATCAGAAATTCTCAGAGACTTCAGACAGTTTAGTTTCTACTATAAAAGTATAGTAAAAGTTACATTTCCTCCATTTTTCCAAAATGTAATAAAAAAATGTAAAATTTACTATTAAAAATTGAATTAAATATTTTTGTATTTGAAATACTTATTAAAATCGCAATAATTATTTATTTCTTAAAAAATACAATTTTTAAAAAATATTTAAATAAATTAATATATAAAAAATAGGGCAAAAACTAAGAAAACATTTTCTAATTTAATTAAAAAAAATGACAATTTGATAAAATTTTATTGGCAAAATTGTAAATTTCTCTGATGACTACTCGGAATAATGCGTTTATGTGACGACACCGCGATTAAACAATGGGCCATCTTCCATCCTTGTTTATTTGCTGAAAGGCTCGTTAATATCCTGAGGACTTCAGATTGACTCCTCTCTCAGTTTGTATTTTACTTTCACGAGACACTAACGTTTCCATTTCTCTTCGCGCACACATATATAAATATAACATGTATTTATATACAAAACGGAAATTCCACTCCATATACTTTAACACCATTTTACTTTAATTATAATAATACAAAAAAATTTAATTCAGTTGAAAGTAAAAAAGAATATATAACATGTAAAAAAAACCTAAAATGATTTAATTCAAATTTGTTTTTTCAAGATTAAATTAAATAAAAGTTTTTTTATTCTACAAAAAAAATTATACTATTTTGTAAAAAATTAATTCTGAATATTTTTTCTTTTTTGCAAAATTAAGAAAACTGTAAATTTCTAACAAAATTTTTATTTAAATCTCTAATACAATTTTTATTTTTTTATAAAAAAGGATTTTTATACATATACATTTTTATATTATTTACAATTTTTTAAAAATTTGTATAAAAATTCAGTGAATATAACAAATTATTATTGTTAATATGAAAATAAACAAAAATTTTATTTAGTAAACATAATACAGAAAATAAATGTATATTTCCAATTGAGTTAAAAACCTTTAAACAAAGCAAAAAAAAGTTTTTTTTAATATTTTCAATTATTAACATTTTTTGAAGTACGAAAAAATGAATAAAGTAATTTTTACTATTTTTTTAATGAAACCTACACTGTTCGGAATTTCTGACCATTCCTAATAATTTTTACTATTTTAGAAGTATGTTTACTAGTTTAGAATTAAATTTTTATAAAAATTAATCAAATTTAAAAATTAAATTACCTTGTAAAATTTACTCTGAGAATAGTAAAAATTACCAGAAACGCACAGAAATTTGTATAATGTACATGTTTTTTAAAAATGTGATTTTTCAGTTTTCGAAAGTAATAAATTCTTAAAAGTGCAAATAATATTGAATCAGGATTTAAAAAAAAAAGAAAAAAATCATATTCAAGGATATTTTACTATTTTTGAAGACTACAATAAATTTTTTTTGAAAAAGTGAAAAATGTACATCATTTGTAATCAATTTTATTGCAAACATTGAAATTGATGAATTTCTTTGAAAATTTGAACTCTGCAAACTAATTTCTACAAACGATATAAATTATTGATATCTATATTTTAAATAATGGAGGAAATAGGTGATAATAAAGTGAAAATATCACGTTTTAAAATGAGTGCCGAAGACTTAAAAATTGGATGTTTTCATATTTTTATTATATGTTTTCTCAGTGTTAATTACGTGATTGTGTCCATGAGTCATTTGTTGCCTGTTTTTTACAATTATACCCCAAATTTTTTCTGTAAGGTAAATTGAAATTTACTCATTTCTTTTCCATTCTTACAAAAAAAATATAATAATTATTAATTTGAAATTAAAAAATTTTTAATTAATTTTTAATTTATTATTATTAGATATTATTTTATTTATTTGTTTATTTAATTATTTATTTAATACAGAAACGGGCGTATCAAAAATCAATAATGTAAATTGACATAAAATTGAATATAATATCTTAATTGTTTTTTAATTTTTAATTCTAAACTAGTTTTCAAATCTTTTTCGCATTTAAAAAGTTATTACGGATAGAAACAAAGTGTTTTTTTTCATAAAATTTTAAAGAAATTTTTACTTATTAAGCTTGCACTGAATAACTTATATTTTTGCTTTTAAATAATTTTTTTATATTAAAAATTTTTTTCATTTTTTAAAATTTTTTTAAATTTGTAAAAAAATAATAAATTTTTTGAAAAATATTTAATTTATATTTTGATATATATTCAGGTTCAAGCCTCTGCAGACAATTTTTGTTTTAAAATCTGTGAAATATTTTAATTTCATTTAAAATTTTGACAATTATTCTTTATTTGTTTGTATTATTCAAATTTGTTATTCAAATATGTAAACGAATTTTCACTTATTAAATATTGTTTATTAAATTAATTTATTTTTAGTATATATTTAATTAAATTTATTTTATTTTATTGAAGTAAATTAATAAAAAAATATTAAAATACAACGTAAAAGACGAAAAACATTTTCTAAGAATTATTAATAAATAATTTAATTTTGTAATTAATTTTATTATAAAAACTACAATCGCGATCCAGAAAGCTGTTTCATATATAATTTGAAATTAAAATTAGTTGCTTTGATAAATTATTTTTGCCCGAATTTTTGGAGTTAAATTAAAGATATATTTAAAATTTTACTGCAAATGTAACAAAACTGAAATATATTATTTCGTCGCGTGAAATTTTATACTTTATACGATTGTAATATTAATCTAGAAACGTGTTTCCGGTTATTTTTTTTTTCTATAGAAAATTAAGGAACACATTGAACTTAATAATTATTAGTGTTTTTGATTTTTAATAAATTTTCAATACTTTTTAAATTTTGATTATAATTTATAATGTTTAGTAATTAATTTTTTTAAATTTAGTAAAAATATTTAAAAATTCTTATTAAACGATTTTATCCTTTTCTTGTATGTATAAATTATAAATAACATTTCATTTTTTCAAATGTTTCCGCAAATTAAAAAATATAAAATTCAGACTAATTTCGAATTTTATTATAAACAATTATTATGTTTAAAAATTAAAAAACTAGAATAAATAAAATGAATATGAAAAATGTTTCAGGCTTTTCATTTGAGAAATGGAACTCAAGGTTGTGTTTCGCAGGAATTTTTTAAATCATTTTCAAATTATACAAATGATCTTGACAAAGTCATTAAACCATCGTGCTCAAGTGAATATATTTTCGAAGTTGAAAATGGAGAGTCGAGCATTGTAACAGAATGGAATTTAGTTTGCGAAAAGGAATATCTTTCTTTACTTGGAAATGTTATTTATATTTTGGGCAATTTAATGGGTGCCTGGATTGCTGGTATTGTTGCCGATAAAATTGGAAGACTTCCTGTATTGGCAATTTGTCTCTATACACAAGGAACGATGGCCGTTTGTCTTTATGTCGTTCAGGTACAAAAATAAAAAAATGCAAAAAATAAAAAAAATAAAAATATGTTAATTTTTTAAAAAAGAAAATTTTTAATTTTAAATCCATATTAAGCTATTCCAATCAACTTTAAGGGACACAAAGTTTTAGTCGATTTAAAATTTTTTAAAAATTATTTATTTTATATTCAGAGTTTGGCACAAAAAAATTGAATTTTCCATTTCCTTGATTTCCGCAGGACTATCCGGTGTTTCTTGTTGTCCGCGGACTCCAGGGCGTTTTCGTTCAAGGACTAGAGATTTCGACATACATTTTGGCGCTAGAATTATTTTCCTCGAAATTCCGAACAATCGTGGGATTAATAATGCAGATAGCGTGGGCCGTTGGTTTATCACTTTTAGCTGGACTCAGTTATTTCATTCCTGACTGGAGAATTCTTCAATTGGCCATCTCCGTTCCTACGGCTGCCACCGTTCTCTACATTTGGTATATTAAATGAAATTATTATTATTAATTTTCACGCGAAAATCTAGAACACAAAAATATATATATGTATATATATTTAAACATTATTCGCATTTTATACGACACACGTTATCACATTATTTTATATATTCCATTTTATTGGAAATAATATCTGTTTTAAATTGTAAATTATTATTATTTATTGTTTTTTTACCAATAAATAATAATTTCCTAATAATGTTACGTAAGGATCTTACTTTTGAAAAAGGTTTCAACTTTTTTGCCTTGGAATATATTTTACAATTTTACATTTTTATTGATGATTTTTTAAAATAATTGCAGCTTCGCATTCATCTACTAAAACATACTATATTTACTACTATTTTTACATTATGCTTCTATTTGGGTACTTTTTTAGATTTCATTCACTAAAAGCTACTATTTCTATTTTTTTTAGAATTTCCACTATTGTAAACTCGCTAATATTAGAAATCAAAAAACTATTCTCCAAAATTATAATCAAATTCTTTAAAACGATTTATATATTTTCAAAAAAATTTCGACAAAATCAATTATTTCACATAAAATTTTTATACAGTTCTGCGCACAATAATTTAATTACTTGCACTGATAATAACATTTTTCATGGAAATACAATAATTATTTAAAAAAAATTTTATATAATTCTAAGCAAACCTATTATTTTAATAATATGAATAAAACTCATCGAAGAATTTCTATTATTTTTCATACTTTTTTGAAATTAATTAATCAAAAAATTCAATTATTTTCACAAATAAAGTTTTCCGCAAGAATTCAATTATTTTCGTAAATAGGTATTCAATTATTTTCATAAATAATAAAATTCATCGCAGAATTTCAATTATTTTTAATGCAATTTTACAGAAATTAATCAAAAGATGTAATTATTTTTAAAAATTTAATTTCAATTTCTCAAAAAATCAATATTATTTAAATGTTTTTTTTTAAATTCTTTGGAAGAATTCAATTATTAACAAAAAGATCAAAATTTTCGCCAGGAATTGAATTATCTTCAAATATTTTAATAAAATTGTTTGAAAGAAATTAATTATTTTAAATACAATAATTTTAATTAAATTTGTTAGAAATAATTCAATTATTCTTTCAGATTTTAATAAAATTTTTCCTAAAGATTCAATTATTATACATAAATAATTCTTCGGAAGAATTCAATTATGCCGATAAATAACAAAATTATTCCCGAAAATTCAATTATTTTGAGGCATTTTAATAAAATTCTTTGAAACATTCAATTATTTTCATAAATAACAATATTCATCACAAGAATTCAATTATTTTTAAAAGTAATAAATTTCTTTTTAGAACTTCAATTATTTTAAAAAATTCTAATAAAATCGTTCTCAAGAATTCAATATTTCATAAATAATAAAATGCGTTTTAGAAATTCAAGTATTTTTCTGAAAAAAAATTTTTTTTTATTTAATAAAATACCATACAAAAATTCAATTATTGTCAAAAATTTTAATAGAATTCTTTGTAAAATTTAATTATTTTTAAAAAATTTTCGCATTTCAATGATTTTCGATATCAACTATTTTTATAAAGTTTCCAAATAAAATTCAATTATTTAAAAAATTGTTTGTAAAAATCTTCGTAAGAATTCAATTCTTTTCACGAAGATATGAAAATTTCTTAGGAATTCAATTACTAAAATTATAATTTGCATAAAATTAGTCGAATGAATTCAATTATTTAAATTTAGAATTTGTATAAAATTCTTCGCAAGAATTTAATTATTTTTATAAATATATTTAAATTCTTTCATGAATAATAAAATTCGTTGTAGGAATTCAATTTATTAGCAGGATAATAAAGAAGTAAATATTTGTAATGAAAATTGAGAAGAAGTCAGGAAAATAAAATATAGAATGGAATTTTTATTAGTTTTCTGAAGTGTCTAAAACGAGATTTTTTGGTCGTCTAGTTTAATTTTTCAACAGCTACTTTTTTACTACTTTTTTTAGTTTGAAAGCTACTTTTTACTATTTTTTTAAAATTAATTCTCGAGTGCGATGTCTAGAATTGTTTCCATCTTTCATTTAAATAATTTTTTTTGTTACAAAAAATTCTAAAGAAACAAAAAAAAATTTATGTTTCTTTTTAAATAATTAAAAGTTTGTTTATTTATTTGTAGGATAATTCCAGAATCACCGCGTTGGCTGTTGGCAAAAGGAAAGTCAACGGAAGCTGATATTGCGTTGGAGAAGATTGTGAATTACAATGGATGTTGCACTAGGTGGAAAAAAATACGGAAACATGATATCGTACTCAGCGAAAACGAGACACCAACGAAACAAGAGAAGACGAGTACTTTAAGTCACGATCGTGTTAAAAGTGCAACAGTCAACGAAACTATTACCGAAACAAAGAATTTACTCGAAAATCCACCAGAAGTTAATTCCGAATGTCAAAGTAATTATATTTACACAGCAAAGAAGAAAAAATAATTATTTACTGTCTTAATTTATATATTATTTCTTAATTAATTTGTTCAAATTATCATTTCCAGAAGAAGAAAAAGAAGAAGTAGGCGAAATGAATTGTGAAAATATTCAACTTGAATTAAATGATACATTGGAAATTTCACCGAGGGAGAATGAGAAAAAAAATAATGTTGAGGAGAAAGAAAAAGAGGATGTGGAAAGTGAAAAGTCATTAAATCTAAAAAAGGAGAGACACTCAATAAGGAGAATTTCACGACGGGAAAATGATAATTATTCTCAGAATGAGACACCGGTTGATGATAAAAGAAAAGTTCAAAAGCAAGGGACAATCATTTCATTAGAGGAAAATAAGACAATAAAGCATCAATTGTTAAATGAGAAAAAGATAAATTCCAATTTTCTCGATTTGCTGAAATATAAATCGACTCTTCGCCACTGTGCAGTTTTAATTCAAATATGGTGAGATATTTTTATTAAATAAATTATTCTATATCATTGTTCCACTTTCGCTAATGTGGAGACAATGTTCTAATTTACCGTCTTTTTTTAAATTTCCTTTATATATAAATCTACTCTCTAAATTTGAATCAGTTAAAAATTAACGCGGAAGCAAAAAGCCAGCCACTGATTGTCAGTTAAAACCATGATTTTTTACTGATTCAAATTAAGAGAATAAATTTATTTTTAAAAAAATTACTGTTTTCAATTATTTTAAAAATAACTCTAATAGACAGCCCCCAAATTATCATTTTATAATTGTTATTTAAGGGAATTTTAAACTTTATAATCACTATTTACACATAAATTATACAATAAATTTAACACTATCAAATGCTGTGATTTATTTAGCATAATTTTTAAGTTGTGAATTTGAAAGCAATATAATTATTAAAAATATAATACTATAATTCTCATAATATTTACGAAAACTAATTATTATTCTATAAAATAATTATTGTTTTACATATCTTTTTAAATAACACAAATAGTTAAATCCTCGAATTATTATTTTTAATATAAGATTTATTTCTTACACTGAAAAAAAAATTTATTTGAGTCAAATAACCGATTAATTGACTATTATTAAATTATTATCAATTAAATATTTAATTGAATCAAATAATATTTATTGGAGTCAATTAAATGGTATTTGCTTCAAATACTGAAATTATTGGTTCAAATACCATTTAATTGACTCCAATAAATATTATTTGATTCAAGTAAATTAACTTGATAATAGTCAATTAATCGGTTATTTGAATCAAATAAATTTTTTTTTCAGTGTATGACTTTTATTGCGCATAGAATTATTACTGCTTACATTAAAATTACGTACATATAAAATAATAATTCGAGGATTTAAATTTACGTTATTTAAAAAAATATATAATAATTATTTTTAATAATTTGATTTCATAAAAACTATGAGAATTAAATATTACAAATATTTTTAAAAATTATATCACAGTTAAAAGAAAGTCTTATTTTAAGACAGCAAAACAGTCTTAATTTAAGAAGCAATATTTTTAAGACAGACAATGCTGAATTAGTTATTTTTAAATCGTGAAATTGAAAGTATAACACTATAAAAAGTCAATTTTAATTTAAGATGAGTCTTAAATTTAAGACAGGTGCTGAATTTAAGAATATAATATATCTTAAATTAAGATTTAATTTTAATTGTGTATTATTTTCAATTTCACGATTTAAAAATAATGCTAATTTTTAAACACAGTGAAAAGTAAATCTTAGTTTAAGACCAATCTTAAATTCAGCACCTGTCTTAAATTTAAGATTGATCTGAAATTAAGATTTACGTTTTACTCTATATTATACTTTCAATTTCGCTATTTAAAAATAATGCTAATTTATAAACACAGTGAAAAGTAAATCTTAATTTAAGAACAATTTTAAATTCAGCACTTGTCTTAAAAATGTTGCATCTTAATTTAAGACTGACTTGTTGTCTTAAAATAAGACTTTCCTAATTAGATTCCATATACAAATTATGAACAATAATTATTCCACTGAAGAAATCTTATATTACATACCGTTTCATAGTTTATGAATTTGATTGTAATTTCAATAATTATAATACTTAAAATCTAAAAAAAAAAAAAAAAAATTCTATTTAACAGTGTTTGAAATTTGGCGCCTGGCGCGCTCCTCACAGCACGTGACATGCGCCGGCCGGCCAGGCGCCGACAGGTGTGCAGCACATAGTTCGAACTTTGGGCCGCTAGGGTCGCAGGGCAAACTTTTTCTCACTTTCTCACAATTAAGTTTATTCTTTGAGGGTATATAAGCTGCTGAAAAACCTATCTCAATATCGCTTCTCGGCCCTATGGCTAAGATCAAAGTGTAGTATCTGTTCTTATCAGCTTGATATCTGATACGCTCTTCATTGAAGAGCCAGAATATCGAACTGATTTTTGGAAATCGGCGGAGTGTCTGGGGCTTGCTCCGACTCTGCCACGGGTTGTCTCTGCATTGCAGTACCGCAGTGAACGGCCCACATAAACTAATTAAAAAAATAATTCATCTTTTTTTATTGTTCTAAATTTAATTTTTTTTTTTTTTTTTTAAATAAATTTTCTAGAATATTCGAAAATTTTGATTTTTGGTTTGTGAACGACACTCGGATTTGTAATTTTTTTCAATGAACTTCTCAAGTTTAGAAAATTCCTCTGCCGCACACACTGTTTCATATTTTTGAGGTTAACTTTTCACAAATAAAATGTCGAAAAAATGAACAAATTAATTTTAGAATATTTAATATCTTAAAATATATTTTTATAAATATATTAATAAATATTAAATACTAAGTAATACATTCAAAATAAATTATTAATTATATAATTATAATTAATTTAAAAAAGATTTTAGTTAAAAACAGTAGCAATTTTAAAAAATAATTGAATTTCAGAAGGTTTTATAACTAAAATTTTTTTAAATTTGAATTGTATATGAAGAAAATAATTAATTGAATATTTATAAGTTTCAAATATAAAATTTTATTTAAAATTCTAAAAAAATTGAGGTGTCTGAAAAATTTTAATTCAATATTATTTAAATGTGATTAAAAAATGATTTAAAAAAATATTAAAGAATGATCAAATTAATGAAAATTGTGTAAAATTAAATTAAAAATAATTAAGTTATTATTGATTATTTATTTGAATTAAATTTTTTTATGTCGATAAAACTTGTATTATTAATAGGTACACAATTAATTTTTTTCAAAATTTTTTAAAGTTTGATCAGAAAAAATGTAATAATTTTTTTTTTAAATTAAAAATATGAAATACATAAATTACATGAAAAAAAGGAGAAATAAATAAAAATTGAATTCTTTTTATGTAATGAAATTTCAGGCTTAGCTCTTCGGCTGCTTATCAATGTGTGGAATTTCTTCTTCCGAATTTAAATTCAAATAGGCATATAACTTTTGTTATCGAAGGAGCCCTGGAAATAGCGTCCTGCATTTTTATTTATTTTGCATTAACAAAATATGGAAGAAAATGTTCATTAAGTATTTGCAATGTTTTCATTGGACTTATTTGCATTGGTTACGCATCACTTGACTATTATTTACCTCAGTCATCGATATTTTTCATTGGTTGGTTTGAAAGAAAAAAAATATTCGTTTTAATTCAAATAATTTTTTCTTCTTTTTAATTTAATTTTTATTTTATAAAATTAAATACCCACAAAAATTAATATCTAAGAATAAAAATTTTTTATACCTAAGGCTTCTTTTAGTTTTATTTAGTTTATCTAAGAGTTTTTTTTTAATTTTTCAAGCATTTATTTTTATATTTATACCTAATTATATTTATTTTCCTCTGTTTTATTAAATTATATTCTTCCTTTTATTAATACTCAATTCTTTTAAAAAACATTTGAATTTTAATTAAAGTATTTTTATATTTAGATGAATATTTTTTCCCCTCCATAATTATTTAATATCTTTTTGTCAATTTTTAGAAGAAAAAACACTAGTTTTCACGTTTTAAAAATAGACATTATTTTTAAATTAGTTTTAATTTTTACATCTTTCACTTTTTACATATTTATAATCTTTCAAAAATCGAAAAAAATTTATTATTTTTTTAATTAGAATTATTAATTAGTTTCCTTCAATGATTACAGGTCCGGTGAAAAGAATTTTCTTACTACTGGCAAAAATGATAATTGCAAGTTCATTTTTTACTTTGAATTTGTGCACTGCCGAATTGTTTCCGACAATTCTTCGAGCATCGTGCTTTGGATTTTGTATTATTTTTGGAAAATTTGGAAGGATTTTATTATCATATTTCTTGGAAATTGTACGTTTTACATACTATTTTACACGTATTTAAATATTAAATTTTCTAAAGACATTTATTTTTTGTTTTTTAATTTTTAAGAGTCTATTAAATGTATTAGTGTGAAAAAAATAAAATGCATTAATTATATAAATTTTTCGTTTTAGGAGAAAAATTACATTCCTACATTTGGACCATTGAGTGTTGTGGGAATGTTGAGTATCGGTTCAGGTATTGTTGCCCTAACACTTCCGGAAACATTGAATCGAATACTTCCAGATACAATGGAGGAAGCAAACAATTTGGGAAAAAAATTTAAGATAAAACGACAAAGCTTAAGATGTACAAGAAGCGAAGAATCACAGGAGCAAATTTTACGGGAAAAATTATTTTCTGAAAATTGGGTTGACGCTGGCAATGGAATAATCGTCAATTTCAATGAAGGAAAAAATTCTGGTCCATAATGTGAAAAAGAAAAATTTGTTTCTTTTTCTTTCTCTCTCATCATTACTTGTAAATATTTTCAGAGGCTAAGTTACCAAAGTACATAAATATTTAAATATTAATTATAAATTTCGAAAAATAAATTTCTAAAAAAATATAAAATATCTCTAGACATTTATTTGTTGGGAAAACAATTTAAAATTCAGGTTTAAGTAATAATTAAAAGCATAAAGAAAAAGAAATGAAAAAACTAATTTTTTTATAGTCATAAAAAAATTTATTGTATATACATAATTTGAAAGTAATATAAATGATTTTTCAAATTTTTCCAAGTGAACAATTACGAAACTTTAATATTTCTCACAAATAAAATTGAATAGTATGAATTAAATATGAAAAAAAAATTTATTTCCTATCACAGCTTTTTACAAGACCTTAGATTGAATAATTCCATTATTTTGTGGTGTAGCATTTTGAGTTTGCTCAACTGCAGTTTGTAACAGTCTCGTTCTACGTCGCGTGTAATGTTGCCACAAAAGAATTTGTTGATCGTCAATGAATTTCGTGCACTGGGCATTGACGACTTCACGACGAAAATGTTCGTGTTGCAATAAATCCAGAAAATATAAGCACATCGGATATTTTAAATATTTCGCGTATTCAGGCTCCTTCCAATATAAAAGATACTTCAAATAATTTATGAAGTTTGGATCCTTGAAGTGATTCCGTTGTGCTAAAACTGCAAAAGAAACAGGAAAATATTTTATTATGTTAAATTTATTCTAATAATTATTTTCATCTGTTCGACAAGTAAAAATCGTATTTCGAGCTAATCAAAAATAAATAATTTAATTTACTGATATTAAAAAAAGGAATGTATATCAAAAATAATTATTTTTATGTTAGTTATTCTTATTATTTATTTTTAAGTTATTTTTAAATAATTTTTGAAAGATAATAGTTTTTCAATTTTGAAAAATTTCCAAACAATTAAAATTTGGTAAAATCTTTTAAAAATAATTGAATTTTTGAAAAATATAAATAAAAGTGATCAAATTTTTAAAGAATTTTAATTATAAACAGGACCATGATTTCTCAAAAATTTTAATAAATTCAAAAAGTAAATTTTCATTAATTTTTATTCACATTGTTCGAAGATAATTGAATCTTAAAAAAAATATTATAAAACAATTGAGGGGACGGATTCTAAAAGGGGATACGCGTGGATTGTCACGTATAACTATTGACCAATAGTGCGATTTTCAAACATTTTCAATTTTCAAATTTAATGACACAAATTTATACACAATGAAAATGCGCATCTTTTTTCTTTAAGAAATAAATTTATATCTTTTTTAGTTTATGAAATAATGAGAAAAAACTAAATTTTTGAAAACCAAAAAATTTAAATGTTTTACGTCTTTAACTCGTGCTGGCGTTTTTGATTTTTCATATTTTGTAATCAAACAAAAACGAACTTACAGATTAAGACTTCCTGAAACCAACTATACTTTTAAAACTACAAAATCTTAATTAATAAAAAGTTTATTAATTTTTTCGAAAGACGTTGCAAAAAATGTGTTTTTCCAACTTTCAACGCTTCGTTTATCGAGGAAATTTTAAGGTACAACAAACTTCCAGTGACAAAGTTTTTCATTACTATACGGACAAGTTTTCTGTAAAATTTTATTAACATGATATGAATGCTTACAAAGTTATTAATGTTTAAAGCGTATGGTGCGTCAGATTTTTCGCGCCTCGAACACATTGAGTCCCAAGGTGTTCGTTTGCAACGCGTTGAAAATGTGTTTGTCAATTAATATTGAATATTAATATTATTAATTAATATTCACAGTAAATAAAATTTAATAAAATTTATTTTTAACATAAATGTTTTATTTTGTTATATATAAAAAACTCAACTACAATAATATTTCTTGTATTTAACTTTCTTGTTTTATTTAGTTTAAGGCTACCACTCTTTGTCAAAATGATCTCATTTACTACATTTCATGTTTTTAAAATAATTATTAAAAAACTCCTGTCCGTTTGGAGAAAGATATCGTACTTAACTTTTTACATCATTCATTTTGATTCAATTTTGAAAGCGGAAGGATTTTGTAATCTATAGTTTTCAAAAGTATTTATACTTGATTCTGGTAAATACTGAATTGCGTAGCTTTCACTGATTTTAACATTTTTCGGGATTATTACTTCTTGGTCCGGTTCTTGACCAAGATGGCCATAATGTTTTCTCAATTGTGATAAAAAAATCTCGAAATCCTGGGAAAATTGTATTGGGTTTTTCCGAACCCTTTTTTTTGCAGTCAACGGTCGCGGCAGCCGCGACCCATCTGGATACCATATTTTACTTAGAATGAAAACAAATCACAAGTTTGAGGAAAATAGCATTTAAAAAAGGGTTACTTCCTCGAAAAGTGCACATGATAACCAAAAAAATTCTATTTTATGAAAATGTCTGACAAAATACAGATATAAATAAAATAAAAATACTTCCTCTATGAGAGAGTAATATGTTTTAACGACAATATAGAATATAGAAAATATAGAATTATTGTACAAATTATTTTGCAAATAATTCTGCAATATTTTTTAAAAAAATATTTCTTATATTATGTTTTTTACTTAGAATACATGTTAAAATAAATAAACTGATGCTACTTTTATATAAAGTTAGCCAAATCGTTATAATCTCATAGTTAAATATTATTTAAAAATAATTACTTTGATAGCAAAAAACTAGTCAATAACTAAAATAATAATATTTTTACTCTTCTTAATCAACAATTATTAGTTTCATTAACATTAAATTTATGTCAAAATAACTATGCATTAATTATTTGTATGTCAGTCAATTTTAACTATCTTCAGGCGATTTTGGCTAATTATTATTAGTTACTTTTTAATAATAAATAATCGTTTTTAACTAAACTGCGATTCCAAAAGTTATCTGTGACTTCATTAAAAATTGTATTTTTTTAAGTAAACAAATGAATAAACTAAAATAGTCTTAATCTGTTACAAACGAACACCTTGGGACTCAATGTGTTCGAGGCGCGAGAAATCTGACGCACCATACGCTTTAAACATTAATAACTTTGTAAGCATTCATATCATGTTAATAAAATTTTACAGAAAACTTGTCCGTATAGTAATGAAAAACTTTGTCACTGGAAGTTTGTTGTACCTTAAAATTTCCTCGATAAACGAAGCGTTGAAAGTTGGAAAAACACATTTTTTGCAACGTCTTTCGAAAAAATTAATAAACTTTTTATTAATTAAGATTTTGTAGTTTTAAAAGTATAGCTGGTTTCAGGAAGTCTTAATCTGTAAGTTCGTTTTTGTTTGATTACAAAATATGAAAAATCAAAAACGCCAGCACGAGTTAAAGACGCAAAACATTTAAATTTTTTGTTTTCAAAAATTTAGTTTTTTCTCATTATTTCATAAACTAAAAAAGATATAAATTTATTTCTTAAAGAAAAAAGATGCGCATTTTCATTCTCTACAAACTTCAGTAATTCAAATTGCAATTTGTAATAGTTTCAAAAATTGACCTAGTGGACAAAACTTAAACGCGTGAATCCACGCGTATCCCCTTTTAGAATCCGTCCCCTCAATTCTAATAATTAGTTTTTAAAAATATTTTAATGTAATTTTTCGAAAATAATTGAATTTCTTAAAAAAAATTTTATATAATTTAAAAAAACTAATTAATTTTTTGATGAATTTTAATAAGAAATTTTGAACATGATTGTTTTCTCCAAAATGTTGAAAATAATTCTAAAATGTTATTATTTTTGTATGTAACTGAATTTTTGGAAATATAATAATATATAATTGAAAATATTTAATTTTAAAAAATTAGAAGCTAATTTTCATTTTTAAATTTACCTTTAAAGATTTTTCATCAAAATTTTTTATATTTCTATTCTTTTGAAAATTTGCAATTAAAATTCTACAAAACTTGATTTTCAAAAATGGTAAATAAATACTTGAAATAAATTAATTATTTTGAATTAAATTTTACAAAATTTCCAGTATTTAAAAAGATTTTTATTATAGATTATAGATATTTTTGAAAAATTTAATTATGTTAAAAAATGATTCGAAAACAATTTTTGAAAGATTTGTTTATAGTTATTTTTCGCATTATAAAAATCAAAATAAGTTGCACTTTTTTTAACTAAAAATTGTGGTATTTTGTTGCAATGTTTGGAAGAATTTCAGATATCAATCTCTTATTCCAAAAAGGTTCATTGTCTAGGATAGAGAAGTTGTAATCAAAATAATGTTTGTCGATCACATTCATTTTTTATGTTGGATGTTCATAACTAATCATTTTTTTAAATCATTCCTTTTGATTCACCAACATATCACGCAGACAATTTTAACTCGTTACATACTTACAATTCAAGTAATTGGGATTCGCAAGACATTGAACAAATTCCAATTCCACTTGAAAACGTATTCGCTGTTGATCTTCAGTTTCTATTCCTCCTGAAAAAAAATTAATTAACTTTAATATAATTAATTAAACTAATTTTTATGGTTGGTGTACAGTTTTTCTAAAATGTATTTTCTAAAACTTTTTTTTCTAATAAAGGTGAATTTCTAAAAAAAACTTTTTTCTAATGAAGGTGATTTTCGAATTTTCTATCTTCCAATAAAGGTAATTTTCTAAAAATTTCTTTCTCTAATAAAGGTAATTTTCAAATTTTTTTTCTAACAATATTCAATAGGTAATATCTAATATTATCAAAAAATAAATTTATGAAAAGTCTTTAATTCTTTAAAAAAATACGTTCAAAAATTGTTAAAAATCGTTACAAAATTGTAATAAAAAATAGAAATTATGCAAAGTTTTTTAATAAAATTTAAAAACAATTTAGTTAAAAATCGTAATTAACAAAGGGAAATTATAGGGATTTTTTGCCTAAAGATATTTAAAATTTTCTAAAAAAATGTTTTATAAATATATTAATTTTGGAAATTTTTGTATAAAAATGATGCAAATTATTATTTCTTTTTTTCAAAGAAAAACAGAATTTTGTTAAAAAATTGTGATAAAAAATAAGGAATTTTATAAAATTTTTTCTTCTTTTTTAAAAAGAAAGTCATAATTTTGTGAACAGAATTGTGATTGAGAAGCAGAAAATATACAAAATAGTTTCTATTTCTTAATCTTAAATTTTTTAAACAATTTTCTAATTTTTATCAAAATTATAGAATTTCACAAATTTCAGAAAAACTTTTTTTAGAAATAAAAACTTGTTAGAAAAACTTTTTTTAGAAAACAGATTTCATTAGAAATCGCTTTTTTTTTAGACAAAAAGGATTAGAAAATATTTTTTAGAAAAAGCGACCACCTACCAATTTTACATAGGTGAGAGAGAAAACCATTCCTTCCAAGTCAAGTAGAAAGAAAAAACAGCTCTTATTTTTTTAACGATTCGAACTCAATTTTTTTTTAAAGAAACTTTAGTCGTTTTTCTCTAATTATTAAATTTTTCTTTCGAAAAATATTACAATATAATATTAGGCTTAAGAAAAAAATAATCATAGAATTAGTTTATACGGATATGAAATTTTTAGGTTAGGTTTGCCTTTTACTGCTTCTAGTTGTTAGGATATGTAGTAAGTAGTAAATAAAACATATATTTATTTCTTTTTTATAATATAAAGGAGATGTTTTTTTTATAAAATTGCAGTCAATATAAATATAAAAAACATTTACATACCACCGTTCATTCCGACGAAGTTTTCTAACTTTCAAATATACACATAAATTTGGAGAATAAAATTAATTGTTGTCGTAAGAATTGAGAATATTAACAAGACTCTCGTTATTGATAGTGGAAATCATACCAAAATGTACAATACTTTTAGAAATTAATCAAAAAATAGAAAATTCATTAAAAAATGTATATGAAATATGTGTCCACTAGTCACAAGTTAAAATAACAATTTCCGAGTGTTATTTTGATATTTTGACAGGTAATTGCAGACTATGTTGGCAAGAGGTTGATATAAAAGTTAGGTTGACTCGCAGGCATGCTTGGGTTGTGAGCCAAGGTTGTGTAGTTATGTGTAACTGTATTTTACGTAAAATACACGAATTTAACTCAGACAAGCAAGTCATTTTCATGACGTCACACACACACACGTTAATAATATTGTTTGTTTATTTAAATCTTGATTTTTCCATCATACAATTTCATTTTTTTATATCTTACAAATGTTTAAATAAATATATAAATTATATATATATATGGTTTCTATGCAACACAAATGTACAAAAAAGAGGGTGGGGACAGCAAGTAGAGAACAGCTGATGTGGCGTCTGCAAATTTTGTATTGTTTATTGACACGTTGCAGGAAAATTAACCTCAAAGTTTTCTAAAATCAAAGTTTCTTAAATGAAAAAAGTGAAACCGAAATCTAAAAAGTTATTTTTATATTTTATTATTTCACTATGAAAACTGAATTTATTTCTCGATTGTAAATTTTGAAACTTAGTGAGAAAAAAAAGTTTTTTTATACTCAAGATAAGTGTCAATTTTAATTATTAATTTTTTAAAATAAAATTAAGAGTGAGTGAAAATAAGAAAAGTTGAAATGTTATTTTCACGAACGTTTATATTTCTTTCAATCGTGTCGTGGACGAATTCAATGCGTAAATATGAGAAAAAAGACTTAATTGATTTGAGAGAAGAGGTTCGATCGATGTTCAATCATGCCTATTCAAGTTATCTACATTATGCATATCCATATGACGAGCTACGATCATTAAGTTGTGATGGATTCGATACATGGGGAAGTTTTTCATTGACTCTAATTGATGCCCTTGATACTTTGGCGGTAATGGGGAATTATTCCGAATTTCGAAGAGTGGCAGAAATAATAAGTGCAAGGGCCGATTTTGAGGCTAATATTAATGTTTCAGTTTTTGAGACGAATATTCGTGTTGTGGGAGGTTTAATTAGTGCACATTTACTTTCGAAAAAAGCGGGCATGACCCTCGAACCCGGCTGGCCCTGTAATGGACCTCTTCTTCGACTAGCTGAAGATATGGCAAAACGATTGATTGCCGCGTTCGATACTCCAACTGGAATGCCTTATGGTAATTAATTAAATCAATGGAACAAATGTTATTCAATGTTTTGTTTTAATTTTCAAGTTTCTTGATGTTTTCATCAATAATGACAATAATAAACTTATTACTGATTGGTATAAAAAAAACCTACATTTTCTGGCAAAAGCAGGCTTCGCACTGGGAGGCATGACTAATCTCTAGAAATCATTAGTTAGAATTTTTAAATGATTGAATTTCATTTATTAGAATTTTCTTTTAGCAGAATTTCATTTTTTCGAATTTTTGTTTAATCGATTTTAAATTAACCCGAATATTTACATTAACAGAATTATAAATACTCGAATTTTTATTTATGATAATTATCATTTAACACAATTTCCATTAATGGTACTTTTTATTAAAGTAAATTCTTATTTATACGAATTTTTATTTACAAGAACTCTTCTTTTACATTATTTCTACTTAGTCTAATTTTGAAAATACAGAATTTCCATTTCGGCGAATCTCCATTTGTCCAAATGTTTGTTTTCATGAATTATTATCATTTGACAGAAATTACCACAAAACCTTCAATTTGTTCTATTTCTGACAATAATTTCTAATTAAATAACTTCATTCATAAATAAATGAACTATTAATTTGAAGTATATAATTAATTATTAAAAATAATGGGTTTATAGAAGAATTTTAGTTAAAAACACTAAAAAATGTGCATTTTGGAGAAAATACAAATGATTGCAAAAAAAAAAATAAAAAAATTTTAAATTCTCATCAATAGTAGCTAGTTTTTTACTACTTTTATTTTTTTTCTATATTTTTTTTGTTTTTATGTTAGGTGGACTTCTAACGCAACTATTCCATCTTTGGAAATTATTGAATGAATAATTCATTTCCATTTTCAGGAACAGTAAATTTAAAATACGGAGTTCCTGAAGGAGAGACGAGCATTACCTGTACAGCCGGAATTGGAACTTTCATCCTTGAATTTGGAACACTATCACGATTGACGGGCGATCCACTTTACGAGGAAGTGGCAATGAATGCAATTAAGGCACTGCATCATTATCGTTCGAAAATTGGCCTTGTGGGAAATCATGTGGACGTATTAACTGGACATTGGACGGCCCAGGATTCGGGAATTGGCGCTGGCGTCGATTCATATTTCGAGTATCTCGCGAAAGGAGCACTTCTGTTTCAGGATCCCTATTTGGCGGCAATATTCCATGAGAATAAGGCGGCAATTGAGAAATACATTCGCAAGGAAGACTGGCATCTTTGGGTGACAATGACCAAGGGCCAAGTGACATTGCCGGTGTTTCAGTCGCTCGACGCCTATTGGCCCGGTGTACTGAGTCTTTTCGGTGAAATTGACGATGCCATGAAATCCCTGCATAATTATCATCGGGTATGGAAGCAGTTTGGATTCACGCCGGAATTTTATAATATTCCACAAGCCGAGGCGGGTACAAATCGTGAAGGGTATCCTCTAAGACCCGAACTAATCGAGTCGGTTATGTATCTCTACAGGGCGACGGGAGATCCTTATTTAATTCAGGTACATTTCTATCATTAAAAATATTATAAAATATAAAAGCATTATTATTACTGTAATAAGATTTAGTTTGAGGGTTCAGAAAAAAGAATATAATATTTTTAGGTGGGAGTGGACGTGCTTAGAAGCTTACAGCACAGCGCCAAGACGACTTGTGGATATGCGACAATTAATGATGTTCGGGATCATCGGAAAGCTGATAGAATGGAATCCTTCTTTCTTGCCGAAACAACAAAATATTTGTATCTTCTTTTCGATTCCGAAAATTTTATCCACAACAGTGGAGAACATGGAGAAGTTGTTAAAACTCCTTGGGGTAATATTTGGAGAAAAAATTCTATATACAAAATTAAATAAAATCTTACAGGGCAGGAACTAAGTCCGTAAATTTGCTTGAAGTCCGTAAAAGTCAGTTTTTTTTAAAAAAAGGTCCGTAAAGTCCGCAATTTTATTAAGAACAGACGAAAAGTTAGTAAATTGTACGATATAATTTGGAGAATTTTAGAAAAATTACAAATGATTGCAGAAATTCAATTATTTTCAAAAGTAATACAATTCTTTGCAGAAATTCAACTATGTTAAAAAATTTTTAAAAATTCTCGTCAAAATTTCAGTTATCTTTAGAAATAATTAAATTCTTCTCCAAAATTAAATTACTTTCAAAAATTTTCATAAATTTCTTGGCAAAATTTCAATTATTTACAAAATAATATAATAACATTCTTTTTAGGAATTCAATTATTTTCAAAAGTAATAAAATTCTTTGCATGAATTCAATTACGTTTAGGAATTTAAAAAAATTCTCGTCAAAATTTTAATTATCTTTAGAAATAATTAACTTCTCCAAAATTCAATTATTTTCAATACAATTCAATTTTCCTCAATTCAATTATTTTTAATATCTACTATTTTAATAAAATTTTGCTAAACAATTCAAGTATTTTTTAAAAAAATTAATAAAATTCTATGCAAACCTTTAATTATTTTCATAAAATAATAAAAATTTCACAGGAATTCAATTACTTACAAGTTTTTTATAACTTTCTTCGCAATCATTCAAATATTTTCATAAATAATAAAATGTTTACACTTTACAGGGATTCAATTATTTTTGTAATTAAAAAAATTCTTTTTAGGAATTCAATTATTTTCATAAATAATAAAACTCATCGCAGAATTTCCATTATTTTTAATACAATTTTAATCGAATTTCTCGAAAAAATGTAATTATTCTTAAATTTTTTTTCTTAAATTCGTCAAAAGAATTCAATTATTTAAAAATTTATTTATAAAATTCTTTATGTGAAATCAATTTTAAGAAATATGCAATTATTCAATAAATTTTTTTTTTTGTATTTAAATAATTGAATTCTAGTTGAATTTTCAAATAAAACTTGATTTAAAAATGGATTTCAGTAAAGATTTTAGATTAGGTATAATTGAATATTAAAAGCATTAGAGCGTAAATTTTTAAACATAATTGAATTTTGAAAGTTTCAAATTAAAATCTTTAAAAATCTGAATACTTCATATTTCTAACTAACAATTCTGTGGAATTATTTTTTTGAGAAAGTTTCATTGCGGATTTTTTGTTTGAAATTATTTAAAGTTTTTATTTTCTAGTATATAATATTTAATTGACAAATTTACAAATAATTGAAATTTCGAAAAATTGAATTGTAAACAAATGACTTTGAAAAATTCTTAAAGAACTTTCTCAAAAATTATTAAAAACAATGCATTTATAGAAGAATTTTAGTAAAAAAAACACGAAAAAAAAATTTAATTTTGTAAAAGTTACAAATTATTGCAGAAATTCAATTATTTTCAAGAGTAATAATATTTTTCGCAAAAATTAAATATTGTTAAAAAATAATAAAACTCATCGCATAATTTCAATTATTTTTAATACAATTTTAATCAAATTTCTTGAAAAATGTAATTATTTTCAATAATTTTATTAAAATTCATCGAAAGAATTCAATTATTTTAAAATTTGTCGATAAAATTCTTTTTATGGGAATTGAATTTTAAGAAACATTTAATTATTCAATAAATTATTTATTTTTGTGTTTAAATAATTGAATTCTAGTATAATTTTCTAATAATTTTAAGAATTTCAGTTAAAATTTTAGATAATTATGGAATATTAAAAGCATTAGAGCGTGAATTTTGAAAGTTTAATATTAAAATCTTTGAAAATCTGAATTTTGCATATTTTTAACTAACAATTCTGTGGAATTATTTTTTTATCAAGAAAGTTTAATTGCTGATTTTTTTTGAAATTATTTAAATTTTTTATTATCTAAATCTATATTTAATTGAAGAATTTACGAATAATTAAAATTTTGTATAATTGAATTGTAAAAAAATGAATTGGAAAATTCTCAAAGAACTTCTTCGAAGATTTTGAAAAATAATGCATTTATAGAAGAATTTTAGTTAAAAACACGAAAAAAAATTTAGTTTTGTAAAAGTTAAAATTATTACAGAAATTCAATTATTTTCAAGAGTAATAATATTCTTCGCCAAAATTAAATATTGTTCCAAAATAATAAAATGCATCGCAGAATTTCAATTATTTTTAATACTATTTTAATCGAATTTCTCGAAAAATGTAATTATTTTCAATAATTTTATTAAAATTCATCGAAAGAATTCAATTATTTTAAAATTTGTCGATAAAATTCTTTATGGAAATTAAATTTTAAGAAATATTCAATTTTTTAATAAATTATTTATTTATGTAATTAAATAATTAAATTCTAGTAGAATTTTCTAATAAAAATTGGTTTATAAATTAGTCGAAGACTCGGAGTTATCAATATCTTCATGTTTTATAGTTTTGAAAATTTTTAATTTATGATTTTTTTTACTGGTTCGAGCCCTGAATCTGATAATTTTCATTTTAATATTTTTCACTTAAAAAAACCATTTTTTTCAGGTCAATGTATAGTTGACGCTGGCGGTTACATCTTCAACACTGAAGCACATCCCATTGATCCTGGAGCTCTTCATTGCTGTCGTCGAGTAAAAAGTGTGTTTCCAGGGCGAAAATCGACTCTTCGAAAATTCGTGCCTGTCATGAATGTTGACCAGGAAAATGCGACTGATTCAAAGAATCTGTTAACAAGTGAAAATCCCAAGGGGAATTCAATAGAAATATTAAAACTTGTTGAAATGAGAAAATTAGCGAAGACTGAGAAGGAAAATTTGACGCAAGTGGATGAAAGCAGTGTTGAAGAAGTGGGAGAGGCCGAAATTTTAGAAATTGAGGCGGATGATGAGATTTTGGAAAATTCGAAAAATTACATTTCACCACCACCAAATGAATTATTAAAAATTGAAGATGTTGAGAATCTGGAAATTTATGAGACGGATAATGAAAGTGAATTTTTCACTGGTGATGCAATTCATAATCATAGTGATAAATTGGAAGAGCAAGTAACTAAAAAGAAATTTGAACCACAGAAAATGTTTGAAAATATCCGACAAAGAAATTTATATCCTGTGAATTTAACAGCGAAAGTTAATTATCAGACGTTATCATGTCGAGCACAACCTTTTCTTCGAAGGATTTCCATTGTTGGAGAATTCTTTTAGAACTTGAGATAATCTGATTGTCAGGATTAAAAGTTTTTATTTTTTTGTTTATTTTGATATTGAGAAATTTTTAACAATTGGACAAAAAGAAGTACAAAATGATTAAAAATGGATTTTTTTGATGTTTTTTTTTGTTTTAACTGATATTTGATGTTTGACATGTGTGGGAGTTAAATTTTGATTTCTAGTTAAGCTAGAATATTTTGCTTGTTGAGTTTAATAACATTCCTTAAAAATTTACGAATGTTTTCAGTAATTTAAGGTCAGTGTTAAAAGTTACGAAAACTTTTTGTAATATATGTATAAAAATATATATATATATTTGTTTTAAATTGTGAGATATTTTAAAGACTGAAAAAATTGCACGGGTGTATGCACTTTTTAAATAGAAATAAAGAAATATTTATTTGATAAAAAAATAATTCAATGAAAAATTTGTCGTTTATTGTCAAGTCACCGCCAATACTATTCGCTCTCTTCCAATACTCCTTTTTTTACTGGGTTAGAGAACCCTCTGACATTTTTTTTTAAAAATTTACTTGAAATCGCACAAAATTCAATAATTTTAAATTACCATTGCTGTGAAATTTATGGAAAGTTGATGAAATGGAAGAATCCGGTCAATTTAGAGAATTCCCTGAAATTTTCTTCAAAAAGTCCACGAAATAGCTTTAAAAACTTTTTAAAGAGTTTTTATGAATAATTAAATTCTTTTGACGAGTTTCTTTAAATTTTTTGAAAATAATGTTTTTTTTAAATAATTTTAATTAAAAATTTGGAAAATAATTGAATTAAACAAAGAATTTTTTCAATTTTTAAAAATAATATTCTTGTCTGTTCATAATATTATAATTGAAAATTTGATTAATTCAATTTTATTAAAATATATTTATGCTAATTGAATTTCTGCAAAGAATTTTACTATTTATAGAAGTAACTAAATATTTCCAAAGAATGTTATTATTTAGGAAAATAATTGAATTCTTGCGAAGAATTTTATTAAAATTTTTTAAATAAGCAGTAATAATTAATTATGTAGTTAATAAGTAATAAAAATTTAATTTGCTCAAGAAATAAATAAATATCAATTATTTGAACATTCAGAAATTTAAAATTATAAAAATTAAAGAGAAGTTCAATATTAATTATAATTCTTGAATAATAATATAACTTTTAAAAGCAGAAAATTGATTTAAAACTTTAAAAAGGACTTTATATTTTAAAAATAAAATTATAATTTCGGTGACTAACTTCCCTTGATTATTTTCGAAAAATTTAAATAAAATTCTTTAAAAGAAATAAAGAATTTAATTATTTTTTAATAGAATGTAAAGAAATTTCAATTATTTCAAAAATTTTCAATTGTTTGTTTATAAAAATTCAATTATCTTGAACAATATAGAATTGAAAAATTTCAAAAATCTTATTTTTCAGAATATTTTCAAAAAACCTTTGCGAAAATTCAATTTTATTAAAAAAATTTTAAGTGTATCTTTTTTTAAATGAACTAATAAAAATTTTAATTATTAATCTTCGCACTATAAGAAACATGAGTTCATTAGAATGTGACTCTTTATAAAATTAAATTATTTATCAGTTATTAAATTTAAATACTTTGAAAATTCGATTTGTTAAAAAGTTTTTAATGAAATTCTTTTACAAATTGAATTATTTTCAGTTGAATTTCACAAAATTTCTATTAATTGGATAATTTTTTTAAAATTAATTACATACTATATTTGAATCAGTGACTGATTTATTACTATCAAATTAATTATTTGTAACTAATTCCAATTTATAGAGAACAGCATAAATATCTATAAAAATATCAAAATAAAAAGCGATTTTTTAAAAACAAATTAAAATAATAAAACTTTTTTTAATTTCGTGAAAAAATTCACGGTTTGGCATAAAATTTCTGGCTTATTCTCGGTTAAATTTAATTCCCGGTTTTCCCGGTTAGTAGACACCCTGAAAATAAATCCGGTCAATTTAGAGAATCCTCTGAAATTTTCTTCAAAAAGTTCACTTCAACTCTTGCAAAACTAAATAATTTTAGTTCGTTTCAATAATTTTCAAAGATACTTTTGTAACATTATTATTATTGTAAATTGTAGTTTAAAATACTAATTCTTATTGTTTAAAAATTAAAGATAGGGATAATAAATAATGAGACACATTTCCAGGCATATTCCATTCAAGTACAGATATATTATGTACGTCATCGCAAACATTGTGACTATTTACAATAAATATACAATCGATTAGATTATTAATATATAAATAAAATATATCGTATCGTTATGTAGTTTATGGTTTACATCAACACGTGACAGTAAACAATTAGATCAGCGGTAAAATAGCGTATCCTACCAAAGTAGTGGTCGTAGCTATGTAGCGTTGTGCTTTGGTTTCAGCTCCTTTTTTTAATATAGCGTCGTACATTCCTTTACTTTGATTCGCTATTCATTCGATTATTTGAGCGTGCAAACGGATCAATCAAAGTGAACACATTCAACCGAATTATGTAAAAATGCTTAAAATTAATTTTACAAAATAAACTTTTTTTCTCATTTTATTATATTTTATTTATAACATTTTTTTTTTGAAAAAACAATCACAGAATTAGCTTCAGTACTTTCCCTTAAATGGTGTTCGAACGGCTGGCATAACCTCAAAAAAAAAGTTTCACTAGAAAAAACAATTTTATTTATTAAAAAAATAGTACCAAAAAATATTATATCTAATTATGGATTTTATCCTTTATAAAAAATTTTTTTTTTTTAAACTATTTTTTTTCTACATAAAAAAGAATGTTTACTTTCGAGTTATGATGGCAACAAATCGAACACTGAAGAAATAACAAAAATTTGTCGAAATAATAAAAATTCTATTCGTTGAATATATTCACTTTGGTCCAGGTGCAAGCGTATCAAGGGGATTTTTTTTTATTATTTACATGTCGGTATTTTTTTCATGAAGTTTTTAAAACCCTTTTTTTCATGGGTTAGAGAGGACATAGAAACGTTTATTACCCAGGAAAGTTATTTAGCGAAAAATTGCGAAACAAGAACTCGAAACTTCATGGAAGTTAAAAGTCATAGCAATAGATTCTCTCTCCTGATTTTTATTATTATTTTTTTTTTTTTGCTTTCATTTTATTTTAAAGATATTCTTCAAAGTGTTTTTGTCATATTTTTGTCAATTCTTTACTAGCGTTCACATATTTGACACTTTGATACTTAATAAAAATAGTCCATTTCTTAAATAGCCGAGTTTAGTTGGATTATTTTATTCTATTTAACAGGGACAACATATTATTACAGGCCACATTCGAGGGCGGCAAATTTTGTTTTTATTTTTTTTATCATTCGGGAGGAATAATCTACATTTTTGTATTCTCATAAATAAAAAGATTAATTTTTAGTGATTTTATTTTTGTTTCAATTTTTATTTAAATGCGAATTCAATTAACTAATATGAAAAAAATTTTTGTCTTTTTTCGAATAAATATTCTCTTACGAACAAACGATATGGACTCTACGCAGAAGAACCTGACTTTTCTACGTCTAAGGAAAATCGTTTAAATTCGTCGAAAGAGCGCGTAAAAATATTTATAAATTGATGCTTTTGTTTTGAAAGTATAGAGGTGGCAGTCTCATATATATATTATGTATATATATATATATTTATATTTATATTATTTATAAATATAGTGTGAACGGTTACTGATCCCAACGCTGTCACATTTATGAAAAAAAAAAATTTCTAGAAATTTTTTATATTTTAGTTATAAAAAAAAAAATTAGATATACTTTTCAAAATATTAACTTTTTTATTTGAATTGAAAACAAATTTAAAGAACTTGATCGTTGGGGTCTTATATATGAAGGTAGGATACGTGTTTAGATGATCACGAATTGAAACTGTAGTTCAGTTTAATGCGTCTGCGAAGTAGATTTTCGAAAATCATATATTATTTACAGTTTCCAGACATTATACACCCTTGTGGGACATTATTTTCTTAATTCCTTTATTTTAAATCTATTACTCTTCTCTCTTTGTAGAAAAAATCGTTATATATTTTGATTTTTCAAATTAACTTTCATAACAAATTAGGAATGGCTATATATCTCAGGCTGGTTTTCAGAAAGAAAATCTCCATTTTGCCGGAGAATAAAAGGGAGAGTCGACATTACTAAAATATCCGACGTTTGGTTTGACCTTGTATTTTAAAACATAACCCCAATTATTGCCTTAATTTCTATTCTGTTGTTTTTGTTTTGCAAAAATAGAAAATTCAGCTCTAGATAAATATATCGAATAATTGAAAAATTTAGACTTCGTACGTTAACAAGAACGAATACAATAGAATTCTTAAGAAATCTTTTGTATTTATTATTAACTACATTGTAGACGTAGCTTTATTGTCCGACTTCAAAATAGAATTAACCAATCAATTTCTTGCAATGATTCGATATATCGATGTAATTACAAGTTTGTGAACATACCTTTAAAGTTATGTTAAGGCTCAAAGTATGGGATAGAAAATAACAATTTGCGTTTTTTTTATCTCATTCTTCAACGAATGAACTTTATGAACCAAAAAATGTCGGTTATTTTAGTAAATTTTTGAATTCACAATGAACGCATCATTTCTTGAACCGCAGAATGAAATTGGTGTCAGTCTCAACACTCTCGAGTGGAAAGATTCATTTTAACGAAGCTCACCTATCCTATATTCATTTTATACATTCAAAGTAGCGCGTTTAACCACTAGTCAGACAACGAAATGTCTTTTCATTTTTTTTTTTAAATTTCACCTATAGATGTAAGGACGCCACTATTTTATATTAAACCTTTTGTATAAATGAAGACGATTATTGACTTTTGATGATGATACAGTAATAAAAAATAATCGGATGACAAGGGGATTATATTTCATATTTTTTTCATTTTTGGGCGGTATAGGGGAATTTTTTTTCGGAGTGGGGCTTGGAGTATTGACGGTAGTTCGATTTCGACGTGAATACACATATTTAATTCGTGAAGAAACATATCGTTCCATTTATCCAGCAAGCACAAATACGTATTTTTCTGTTTTCTTTTTTTTTTTTACTTATACACACAGTCATATCATCTTTAATAGTGACAAGATTTAATTGTCACGTGGAAAACTGAGGATAAATTTTGTTCTATGATGTAAGATTTACAAAATTCAAGATGTATTTATTGCAAAAAATTTCATTTCATATCCTCGAAAATTTATGCTTTTCCACTAATTTTTTGTTTTGTTTTAAATCACCGTTCAACGGTGACTCGCTCGGCATTCATCACTAGTTAACGCTAACAATACATTCATTGTTAAAAATAAGTTAGCCTGCTTCATCTGTTTTTTTTTTCTGTTCATAACATTGCACCGAGAAAGCACCACTATATAATACAAACTTCTCGTCACCACTTAACATCATTTTTTATATCCTTTAAATATTTTTGAAAAAAGATGGTCACTTTTTGTTTAATGCGACAATTATTCAGTTCTTTCCATGTCGAATTTGTTTATAACAAATTGAGAAATTCGCCGTTGAGAATACATTCACACATAGACAATATTGGGCGGGGGAAAATTATATGAGAGAAACATGTTGAATATAAAAATTTTCACTAAGGTTGTTTTAATAGATCTAGGTAGATTGAAATCATAAACTTAAGTGCTAAAGAATAGATTTTCTTGTTTCTTAATTTTACGTTATCATTCTACTTAGGTCTATCAAGTGTGAAAGCACCCTTATGTTACGTCAAGGCCTTAGGAGGGGAGAAGTTTCTCATTCGAACAAAACAGTAAATACCGACAATTTAATAGACATGGCAATTTGTAGGCATATATACGTCATTTTAAAGCTACTTTATTGACTAGGACCATTCATTCAATCTCAACGGACAAATACTCATTAATATACCTAATCCATTTTTTTTATGTACCTTGTATCAAATCGTCGCATTGTCACATTTGCGAACGTCTTTCAATCATAAACCGACACTTCACTAATTCCACCTCATGTTTACACCTCATGTGGAAAAATCGATTCGTCATTTTATTTCGATAGTTCCGATTATTCCACCAGGGGCGCCTTTTCTTCACTAGAAACTTCATACTTTGTTAGAAATTTCACACCCTATTAGAGCTTTCATGTTTCAGCAGAAAAGCTTCCTGTAGGAAGTGTTTATACTTTCACCGGAAGTGCTTCATCAATCAGGCGTTTCATCTTCAATAGAAAACACACGGTTCACTAGAAATCCCGACACTTCACGTTCTAACGGAACCATGGTCAATTATTAAAGCAGTTCATATGGCTCGTCGATGGAAAACTTCACTTAATCTAGATTAGACCCTATCACGATGTAATAATATAATATAATTTTAGTATTTGGCATCTTTGAAATACACAAATAGACTTTGGTATAAAACTTTTTGATAGTGTCTGTCACTGGTTCTCGCGGAGAGTTTAGGAGGTAAGAAAAGTATACCATGAATAATTTCTAGCAAAACTTGTCGAACCACCATAATTTACAGGTTGATGGAGCGCCTCTTCTTCTGCGTCGTTTTTTGCTCGTTGGATTAACGGGCTTTTTTGTGAATCTGATATTGTAGGGATCCTCCGCGAGTTCGGGATAGAGTTGCGCGTCGTGAACGTAATCGCCCTCGTAGTTTGAGACCTTGCTCTCTTTCACGATCTCCTCCTGTTCGGCGGCTGTCCATTCGTTCATTGTTGGTGTATTGGCCTCGAGTGCCTCTCTCTCGCGATGCCACGCTTTTCGAATGGCTGCCGTTTTCGCGTGATGAAGAAGTCTTTGTTTCTCCTTCTCGGCGGTTGTTCCGTACCTGAGATTTATCACATAACTCGGTCCGTGAATCTTCACGTCCACCAGTGAATTACTGCCACTGCCGTTGAGATTCTGATGGAATGTGGTATTCACCTGACCACCGAGTCGTTTCAATTGACCCCGATCGTCAGCCGATTTCCACGTTTCCTCCTTTACAAAATAGAAAGCGTCCTGTTGAGCGCTATGAACGAATGTAAATGGCAGGAAGTATGATTCATTGAAAACAGTCGTGAAGACGTCTTTATAAATCGTGTTGGCAGTGGGGACGCTAGAGACGACAGCCTGACCGTTCGCAGTTCTAGAGACGAGGATACCTTTCCCGAACGGTGGATCCGAAGCAGCACCAAGACGATCAGGTATCAGTTCACTCGTGTCCTTCTTGAGGGCCGATCGTGGCGGTGCCGAGAGACCCGCCGCATCACTGGAATGTCTCTGTGCGATATGCGCCAGGAATCCCGATTGAACTCCCAAATTTCTTATTCTCTCCTTCTTCCCGAAAATCGATGTGCCCGAACTCAAAGCCGGTGGCACGTGTCTGTTCGAAAATCCGTCAGGGAAAAGTTGCGGCGCCAAACTCTGGAGATCGTAACCCAAACTAGACAGCCATGAAGTGTGGTCCGTTAGTTGTTTGTGATGATCAGTGTGCGTCACGTCAATAGGATTATTTCCATTGAAGCGATACAAATGTAGATGAGTAGGTGATTGAAGTCTGTCCAAAACATTTTCCCACAATGGCGACATCCACTGTCCAATGAGTGGATCATAAACTTTCCCATTCGGCATATGAACCAAAGATGTCACCGCGTCCAAAAGACCACCACAAAAGTCCACTGGAAGATACAGATACGGATTGGAGTCATAAACAATATGTCCATACGGAGATCTCATAATTTCACGAACACCCTCGCCATACTGATTGAAAATCATAATTGGCGTTCCACACTGATCGGTTGTAATATAAAACTTATTTCTATAAACTTGTGCATAGATTAAATGTCCCCTGTCGTCATACACCAGGGACATTAGTTTTCCATCCCTTGGACTGTAGATCTGACTGACTTCGTGCGGCCGTTTCTGATTGGTGTAGAAGAATTGAGTCACATTTCCATAATTGTCTTTCCTAGTCGCCAGCCGATCGAGATGATCATAGTAATATCTCACATCGAATCGTCCCCGCTTTGTGGCTCGAACCAAAAGTCCCTTGGCGTTATAATTAAACCTTTCTTCGCGCGCATTCTGAATCACCAATCCCCGATTGTCATACTTGTATAATCCATCACCGAATTTGACAATTCTGTCCAAATTATTATAACCCATTGGTATCGTGTTTCCACGGTAGGTGAGTGACAACATATTACCATTCGGATCGTACTTAAAGTCCCAGGGTTCTTGAGCCTGAACACCGATGAGTTGACCATCAGAGTCCCACGTATAGTTTTTCACGTTCGTGTACGTATTGACGCCAACATTACGAGTATAAGTTCTGGTCTGATTGATTCTGCCCTGTGAGTCATGTGTGAATTCCATTCTAAATACCTCCATACCGTGAATTGTCACCGTCACCTCAGTTTCCAAGTAACGCATATCCGTTTTTCTGGAGAAGATTGCCGTTCCGTCGAATACTGCCGTCTCGTTCGCGTGGGGCTTGGAGATCTTGAAAGACCCAATCTGTTCTAACGTTCCGGTTTTGACATTGTAGGCAACAATATGGGACGGAAGATTTTGCCCTCCAATTCTACCCTGAATGGAGGTGAGCCTGAAGTTGGAGTCATAGTCAAAGGTGAACTTGGCATTGCTCAAGCCTGTCTTGGCGCCGAAATCTATTCGTTCCTCAACCAAAAGACCGGCGTTGTACTGATAATCCCATTTGTATTCCACGTCTCTCTCCGAGTGAATTACTTCGGAGGGTAAACCACTGTCGGTGTATCTCATCTCACTTTTTCCATCGCCATGAACAACTTCCGCTAAATGACCAGACGTGTGATAACGATAGACGACTCGTGCTCCATCTCCTGGAAAAACAGTCTGCAGGAGATTTCCATCATGACTGTAGTGCTGTAGATACGATCTCGTATTTCCCGGTGGTGTGTAAGAGACTCTAAGGAAACCAAGTGACGATTGACAGGAGAAGGAGTGTTTTTCTTTCGATGGTAAAATTATGTGACGTAGTCCACCATCGTCATCGTATTGCAAAGAGAATGTACGACCACTGGCTAAAGTGATTTTCGACAACATGTTAAAGTCATTATAGGTATAGCCCTTCATTCCATCCTGAGAATTGGAAACATCGGCCAATTGTCCATGTCGATCGTAACCATAGGATTCGTCCGTTGGGCCCCATCGCCAACTATTCATTCGATTGAATCTGTCATAAGTGATGGTTAAATTGTGACCCTGTTCGTGCGGTTGCCACGAGAGGGGCAAACCTGATGGATCAAAGGTTACAACTAAGAGTGGATTCTTTGATTTGTCGTAAAACATTTCGCGGACGAAAGTTTGATCGAACTCGACACCAATGACGCGGGTGTCGTTTACCCAAATTTCCCGACTGAGCGTCTGTTGTGGATGACTTACGTCACCAACAAGATTGTAAGTAGTTGTCATTGTATTAGTTAATTCTCCCAAAGTCATCGATTGGTAGCTCCACATTGGTAGCATTTCAGCCTCAACAGGAAGAGCGGCTTCCAGTAGGGGATGTTTGGTCATTGCGGCTGTCATAACTCTTCCTCCTCCAGGTAGAAACACCTCCAGGGAACTATTAGGATAGGCTGTAGCCTTCTTTATCTGAGTACCGTCAATAATGGTCAACGTATTCAATCTCTCGTTTTTCATCTGGAACTCCATGAAACGCTGTTTCTCCCCTAGTTTCAGAGCTTGGAGCGGTGCCGCAACTTTCACCGAAAGAGTTTCATCGGTCGTCAATTGAGACGATAGTTTCAATTTCTCTCCAGTTGGTAATATCATCTGCGTCACTCGTCCCAGATCATCATAGTTGTACATGTAAGTTTCCCGACCGCCGGATCGACTCGTGAGCAAACCGGTCGCACTATCATAATCGAGTGTAATTTCCGATCTTCCCTTCTCCGAGAGTTTCACCAAAAATCCAACACCCGAGATTTTCAATTCCGATTTATGATCCTGAGTATTCTCGATCGAACTCACAACATTGCTGTAATCGCGTAGGAACTGAATTTTATTTCCCGCGCTGTCTGTGACTGTCGAAAGTTTCCCAAAGCTCGTGTTTTTGCTGTAGAGGAAGGAATATCTGGTCTTGCCGGAAGTCAAGTCCTTAGTGTCCACATGCTGGCCGTATCGATTAAAGACGTAAACCTCATTCGACGGGGGGAATGGAATGTGAAACTCGCCACTCTCGTCATGATTTGGAAGATACGGTTGCAATGCAAGAATATGTAAACTGCCTTGATCAGCGATATGCAAAACGCCATCGGGCGACACGGCAAGGGCGGAAATGGCGGTAAACTTGGCATTCGACGAGAGCAGAGTTTCAGTGCTGCTTGTGTCGTCCGTACAGGCGCAAGTGAAATCCGATTCCTTTGTGCTTGGTGTTGTATTGTTACATTCACACTGTCCCCGGAGGTGTTCGTGTTGTTGACCAGCGAAATAAGACATTTTTCCTGATGAATCGACAACGCGCACGGAATTAACGCGATGTGAATCACTGTCGGCGATGTATAATTCACCAGTGGGACTGAATCCGACGGCCAATATGGAACCGAGAATATCTTCAGATTTTTTAGCAAGGAGCGGGTTTGTTGCGTTTGCCTTTGGCGAGTCATTTGAACCGGCGGTACAGTGTAAAGGTGTTCCAGCGACGACTCGAACTTTCAAGTCACTTGTTAGTTTCAATACTAGACGATCGTCGATGAAGTGTAAGGATCCATCTAGAGGGCTGAGGGTTAATCCAGTTGGCCACTGGAGTTGTGCCTGATGCGCTGCAATTGCTCCAGCACAAGGTGCCGGCGACCAGTGATTGTGATGACCATGGTGTCCCACTAGGGTGTGAATCATTCCGCGTGGATCCACTGCCCGGATGTTCGTCCCGTCCGCAATATACATTGTCTTGTCGGCCGCTATTGCTATTCCTGAAAGGATAAATATAACAAAGTTAAAAACTATAAAATTGTAATTCTAATATTATTTCTTTATTTTGTTCCAGGAAAACCATGGGAACAATCATTAAAGTACAATACAATTCATAAAATTCAAATTCATCTTAGATGTCTGCGCATTACTAAATGAAAACGAAAAAGAAAGATTCCAATGAAACTCAGAGAAAGAGCCATTAAAGAATTTAAAAAGTTAATAAAACTAAAAATAATTAAACAAATCAGAATACAATACAACAGAAATATTATTTCAACGTTGTACGGGTGTAAAAATAATGTCTTCGTTAGATTTAGTCACTAGTTTTTGTCAAATCCCATTAGAAGAATATTCAAAAGAATATACGGGGTTTATCTTCGAAGGAAAATGTTATGTATTCAACGTCGTTCCATTTGGATTGAAAATACAAGTGCGTTAATAAGAGCATTAGATCAAGTATTGTGCAGTTTAGTCGATTTTGTGATCAGTTTCATCGACGACATGCTGTGTACATCACAAAGTATTGACGAACATCTATATCACCTTGAAAAATTATTTCATCGATTAGAGCAGCACAATATGACTATAAATTTTCACTTTTTTCGACCGGTTGTAAAATTTTTAAGACATATTTTATCTGCTAATGGAATAAAACCAGATCCAGATAAAGTAAAAGCGATTCATGATTTTCCGAGACCGAGAAATTTTAAAGAATTGAGAGGATTCTTAGGCTCATGGTTATTGAACTTCAGGCTTTTTAATATTTGAGAACTCTTCAATATGCAATCCAAATGGCTAAACCCCGGTATTTTAAAAAATAGCGTCGAAATTTATGATTTCATTTATCACTTTACGTGCGGGGTGTAATTAATCTTCGCCATCAATTAATTTTAAATTAGACGACACTCGTCGACTCAGGGGTAAATAATTATTCGACTATCTTGGCAATAATTAATGATTACCTTTCGGGTGTGCTAATTTTGCTCGAATGGCAGGTCCTTCATCGCCACAATGACCCTCATCACCTGGTATACAGCGCTCGCCACTTCCCACAACCGGTTCACTATTGATTTCGGGATCTTGGACGTCTTCCAATGAGAGGGCCCTTAAAATTTGATGTTTCTCCGGATCGCTGATATATAAATGACCATCAGCCGGTGATACACAGATATAATATTGATATGACACTTGTGTTGCTCTGAAAATTAGAGAAGAAATAAATTAATTCCCGTCTCTTAAATATGAACACACTCTCTTACTTTAATTCAGACAAATTTACCTTAGTTTGAGTACGGTGTAGACTTTTCCCTCAGGTGTGATACGTCGGACAAGATTGAAATCCCCCACGTAGACACTGCCATCGGGTCCGCTTGTTAGAGCAACTGGTGTTAGGAGTCGCGCGTCCTTTGCTAAACCATTGCAATCGTCGCATTGTAATTTCCTCTGGAGTCCCGTGCCCATGATGACTTTAACCGTGCGGGGATATTGCTTGAAATGGAGAGTTGAACCGTCGCCCTTTTGTAGGATTCCCTCGTGGAAATTATAGTGATGATGAATGTCCAAACCCCATCCGCCAACATCCGAAATATCAACATCGAAACCCTGCAATGTGGTGGTTTGTGTTTCCCAAATGACCGATGGACATGTCGAGTGCTGATAGCCAATGGAGATTTTCGCTTGAGCTATTCCATAAACTTTTTGCTTATAGACATTTCTCTTGTTCCAAGCGAAGGTGTGCGTTAAATTTGGATCAGCCTCGTATGTTTTCGTGTGCAATGAACCCTCAATTTCCACGTGAACGTGCACGTGAGTCAGCGATTTTTGAATAAATGGCCCCGTTAGTTGCATTCTCACTGTTGACAAATAACCCGCAGCCTGGCTACTCTGATACATCAGGTGGAGATTCGATCCCGGAATTGCGATACTCTCTTGAACAATCTGAAAAAATGTTTTAATTTTTCAATTGAAGAAGCAAAAATAAAAGAACAGTTTTTATATATGCGACCATTTTTGATGACATACCTGAGTTTCAGCGAAGACCAAACTCTTGCCGGGTAAACCGCCAACTTTCTCGGGCATCCATGTACCGACGATAATGGGTCGTAGAGTCTCGTGATCGTGTTCCTCGCATGGTCCATTCAGTCCAAACAAACCCACTGAAAACCCTGGGAAGCCTATTATATTTTATGGAGTCAATTAATAGAATACTCGATTAAGAACAACAATGGACGGCAATTGAACGACACGCACGAACGAGTAGACATCACATGATGAGATCTTACATCAAATTTCAATTATACACTGAACATCGAGTGCTTTCAACACACATAGGGGCCAATTCACTGGAGTTTATTTTTATAAAAAGAATGTATAATAAAATTTCAATCAGAAAAAAAAATTAAAAACTAGGGTTCAAATAAATAGAAAAATAGATTTTTTATTAAAATGCATCGTTTATCTAATTGTAATTTTTTGTTATTGACGTTAAGATATGGATAAAATTTTACTCCGACAAGACAGTGGGTGTAAAAATGAATTTATTAAATGTAATTAATAACTAGAAGTTACTATCAGAGACAGTTACATTGTGTTTTAACAAGCAGGGAGGGGTAGTGACAATTTGAAAACTGTCCTCTGTGCTGATTGGCTTGATTAACGAACCAATTAAGAAGTTAAAGACTTTTTCGAATTATAACGACTCAACCCTGATTATTTGTCACTCTAGTAACTTTTTAATTTTTCTGCATCTTTCAGCGCCACTCTCATTTTTAATCAATTTAGACAACAGAATATTCTAAAATAAAAAAATATAAAGAAAGTCAGGTTATTTCTGTATATTCTTCTTTATTTTAGAATATTCTGTTTTCTAAATTTAAAAGTTAGAGTTACGCTTAAAGATGTAGTTAGTAAGAGTGCAGTCCCATGCTGGTAGAATAGTGAAGTAGTGTAATAGATTTGACCAATTAAAATAAAGTGTACAAAAAATCCAGTCATCTAATTGGTCAAAACTGTTCCACTAATCTACTATTTTACCAGCATGTGACTGTACTCTAATGTGACAAACAATCAGGGTTGGGTCGTTATAATTTAAAAAATAGTAATTTAAGTAAATGAATGCAAAGTCTGTATATGCAAATGACAAAAAAATTTTCCAGTGAATTGACCCTTAAAGGTTATTGGGAAACGAATACAGTTACTATAGACCTAAAAGTACAAGTATATCGTGAGTCATAAACCATTTGAAAAAAAGAAAAGAACAGAAATATATCATTCATTTTTTTCTATCTCATACATATGTAAAAGTCGACGATCTTCTTTTTTTTAAAGATATAATTGTACTTTGGGCCTAATTGACTGACACAAAATGAAGTGAAATATTTTTTTAAACAATGAAATTCTTTTCATATAAAACACCGAGACGTCCACAAATGTTGATCACAATCAAAAATTTCAATGAATTATTTTACATACCAACAGCTGGACTGGGAGGTTGCTTTGCTTTTGATGAATCTCCGCCTTCGCTTAAAGTCATTACGACGGGCGGTAGAACCACGATTTGATTCCATGGTACGAAGACCGTTCGCGTGAGAGGCCTGAAAGGGCTCCGTTGAAATTGAAGAGTCACTGCACCACCTCCATTAACGAGAACGTCGAACCTGGTTCAAATCAAATTATATCATTAAGACCCGATTGCATAGTTTTAAATGATTTTAAAAATTTCGACAAAAAAAAGAATACCTAGTATAAAAGAAGTTTCATTTCAGAGCAAAAAAAATATATCCAGCTTTTCATTTTTAATAGATAAAGTATAATTTAATGTCGCATTAGTAATCGATATCTCAATTTATAAATTTATATTTATGTACATATAATTGACAATGGAAAAATTATGAGACTTGAACCGATATCACACACTGTCGTTAATAATTAAACACGAAACTGACATAAAGATTGAAAATTACTCTCTCTGATGTCTCATGTCATTTGGTTTACTTAAAAGTATTACTAGATCGATATTTAAGAAAACTGATTTATTAAAATTTAATATCTACAATTAGAATCTGCTCTTTTACATTATAATTTTATATATGTTTTAATAAAATTCAGATATTAAATGTATTTATGAAACTCCGCCCCTACTAAATTTAATTTTCTTAAAACGAATGAATAATGGAAAATTTACAAGAAAAAGAATTAAAGTCAAATTTGTAAAAATATATCTGAAAATATAATTCTATTAATAAATTATTTATAATAATTGAATAAAATTGTGATTCAAAAATGAAAAAACATACTTTGTTAATTAGGAATAAATAATGAGACTTTTGTGAATATGTCCCCGTTACTATGGTTATAATGATATCATTAATTTTCCCAATCGACCTTAAAGCTTAATTTCATTGTTATTATTATTGTTATGGTTAATAGGAGTTAATATCACTTTAGAATATTGAATATCGGTTATTATGCCTCGCGTATACAAAATATTTCGTGTTTTATCTAAATTATTTTTATTTTAAGGCCTAAACTCTAAATCGTGTGCGAGAGAAAAGGATAGAAATAACGTTTGTTCTTCTTTAGAAAAAGGCAAACGATATTTCTATCATTTTCTCTCTAGTATAAAAATTACGACATTTAGAGTTTTCATTCAGATTTTAGTAATATTTTTGAAAAATTTGCGTTAAAATAAAATATAAGAAATGAAAAATTATGCTTACCATCCACCAGCTCTGGTTAAGGTGAATCCAAATCGTGAGTCTTTATCAACTGAGACTCGAATGCCTACAATTCCAAGTCCTTGCTCCGTAACAACCTGGCCTCGCATAACTGCCACTCGGCTGTTATAAATTCAAAAAATGATGAGCTTTTCCATACTAGAAATTTTAGGGGATTCACTGTGTTCCCTCGGCGTAGCTGATTCGATATTTCTCGAATTTTACTGTTGCTTTACTTTACTAATTTTTGTTGTTAAAATTATTATTCGGATGGAAAATAGAAATTATTATTATTGATAATAATAAAAATAAATAGTATTATTCAAATTTTATATCTATTTTTTTGTATTTTAATTTTGTATAATTTCTGTAGACTCCCTGAAGAGGACGCATCATTTAGATTTCGAAACTTTGGAGTAAATATTATATTTTAATCATTGTTCAAATGTTTTCGTTTTATTTACCTTGTTTTATCAAAAATTAAAGTTATAGATTAACTAACTATTAATACTATTTATTATTTATTTTCAATATTATTAAAATTAAGCTTTGATTTCAAATTAAAATGTACCGAAAATAAAGTCAATTTCATATTGAAAAGTGTTGCGCGCGCATTGCTTCGGTGCCAAATTTATTTTAGAAACACCTTTAAGTCTGATTTAAAATGAAAGAAAGAAATCGAAAAACTTTGCATGAGAGGGAAAAGAACATAAATAACCTTCCTCCTTTTCTATCTCATGTAAAATTTTACGATTTATGACTCATTCAAAATTATTCTAATAGACAATAAAAATTGACAAAAGAATTAATTTTTTTTTTTGATAAATGGAAAATATGTAAATTTTCATTTACAAGCAGTTAGGACCGACGTTTGTGTTCGTTAAAAGATGCATCAACGAGGTTCATCGAATCAGCTACACCGTTTGGCGAACGGTTCAGTGCGTTTCAATATTCGCACTTGGCTGCCAATACAATTCGCAATTCAATTTGCGTGCCATTCTAGTCTCGATACAAAGTAGTTACCGCTGCCAATAACCGAATCGAGTAGGTCCGTAACAATGTGGATCCACTTCACAAGGTTTTGCCCGATAAGCATTAAAAGGCCAGACTTTGCGAATCAAGAGGTCGTTTTATTTGCAATTTAAAAAAAAAAGAAAGAAAAAATTTGATAAAAGCGGATTTGACAGGCGACCTTATTGCGTTTCATGCTTTGTACCTTCAACTTGTAACACTGTTAGAAATATCTTTTTTTTTCATTTGCGCACACCCCGTTTGTTTGATACTTTATACAAAGCGGAAGTTAATTTGATATTCGCAATATATTTGCAAAGTGAGTAAAAAAAAAAGTTAATAAAATGAGAACAGAAAATTACCTTTTTGAAATTTAATATTTTTCCTATTTTTGATTTTTCCTAATGTATTTTATTAATTTTTATTCTATTTAGTGCTGGAAGTTGTTGAAAATTTTTGACTTTAAAAAGAATTTTATCTTTGAAAAGAAGGATAAATTTGTATTTTGTGGTATAAAAGTAGTGAAATAATGAATGTGTGATAATTTGGAATAATAATTTTCCTTTTGTGATTACAGTTCCATTTGAGAGATGGCAAAATTTGATTTGCTGAATCTAATCAGGAAACTTGTTGTGCCATTAGAATGAGCCAATCAGGTTTTACAATCATTCGATACTATCGAACGAGTGAATTGTAGATTTTACATTATTATGCTACATTCACTACTATTGAACTATTTTTTCATTTTACAGGAAAAATGTTTTAGTCTCAATGGTCGTTGAATGAAAAAAGTATCAACTTTCTTCACCCAACGACTATTGACACAAAAAAAAGACTAAAACATTGATTTTAGTTATTTTAGTATTTGGGGTTAGGTGAAAATTTTGTAGCCTTTAAAATAGTTTTAATGAGATAGAGTTGTAAGTGAAAATAAACTACAAATTCTCAATTTGATATTGGTAATTAATTTTAATTAAACAAAAAAAAGAGATATATTCGACTAACTCCAGGAGATTAATATTCAGGCCAGTTTTTATTAATTTACGACTTGATTGTTAGAAACTGCCCGCGTAGGAGAGAAAAAAAAACTATTTCAGTTATTCTTGCAACTCGGTGTAGTTTTGTTATTTTAAAAACTCTAGAGATTTGAAAATTTGAGAGAATATTTTCCTTTCAGAGAACGATCTCCGGGGAATATTTTTCATGACTATTCTACAGTCGAGTTTTGCTCAAGAGAGAAAACCTCGACTTTTCAACAGTGTTGCCAACTCGAGACCGCGATTTTGCGGTGTACTCAGGGTTGGGAATGTATAATACACTCTGAATTTATATATACATATATATAGTTATCTAACAAATTTTTCCAAGGTATTTTAAGACAAAAAAAAGAAACACTAAATTTATGTGTTTAAAAAAGTATTAGTTTCTTTTTGATATTATAATATTTATAATATTAAATAAAATGATAATGTAATTGTAATATAATAGTAATGTAATGGTAATGTAATGATAATGTAATGGTATCGTAATGGTTATTTTGAGAAAAATTAACAACGAATCAGAAACGTGTGTTTTGGATAACAAAGTTTCCGTTAATTACTTTTTCACAAAGTCGATGCTTACTCTGAGTAAATTAGCACAATAGAGTGGAAATGAGAATAACGGATCACAAATCAATTGCTAGGCTCGCTGTGAGTATTTACTTAATTATTTGTTTGAATAAGAGTGTTTAATATTCGTAACCGTTTGTGTGCTGTGGTTGGAAATAAAATATAATGTGATTGGTATTTTTTTCTTTTCTCAAAAATGTGCTTTTGATTCATGTCAAAAATGATGTATTATTAATCAAACAAGTATAGAGGTGTGAACGTAGCTTTAAGCTTTATGACATTTTAGCGTTTGACACAGATGGATAGGTTTTAAATATATTAAACTTATCCATCCCTGGTGTATTGGATTTTCCAATTTATGAACTATGTGCTGCCCTTCCGGTGTGTGCACACTTTTCTAAAAACCGTAGCATTTCTCTTACAACCTTATTAGTTCGTGGCTAATATTGTACACACAAATGCATAAATGCTGTCCTTTTAGTTTGACAAAATTTTTTAGTGTCATTACTATCAAATATTCTTAGTTCGTGGCAAACGAATGTTTATTCATACGTAATAAACTAAAAAAATTTTGACAGAAATGACACGACTTCAAAATTCTGTCAGACCGCAAGGACAGCATATATGCGTTTGGGTGTATACTAATTTGCTATGAACTAATAACATTATGATAGAAAGGCTATGCTTTTTAAAGACAAGTGCAAACCGTAAAAACAGCATATAAGCAGTTACCTGTATACGATTTAAAGTTTTCATTCTGAGGCCTAATGACTTTACGAGCCAGGCGCAGGGTTGGATAGTTTATTAAAATATTAACCAGTTGCAAGAAATATGAACGTAACATAAGGCCTACTACTTTATAACTTCCCACTCTAGGGATTAATTAGTTTAAGGTACATCCACACTTGATGTAAAACACTTGACAATAAAATTATTGTATTAAAACCATTGTCCAAGGTGATAAAAAAAGTGTGCAGAAAAAAGAAATTTTTAACAGTGCCGATCGATTTGTTCGAGAGGTGACGCTCTTTTCGCATTTTCGGGGGACAAATAAATGGCAGCCATGATTGATTTTGATACACATTGAACCTCATGTACTGTGGAACCTAGGTCATAATATCATATAAAATGGAATACATGCACTTATAAAATATCATTAGGATTGTATGTATATAGACGTAAATGATGTATAATAAATTAAGGATTGATAAATGTAGGGTAATTTTTTTTCCTTTTTTCTTTTTTTTTGGCAAAAAAGTCGAAATATATTATCAAGCTGATATAATGTTTAAGCAATCACGTGTGTATGTGCTGAATATAATGAAATCAATAGGTACCAAGGTATATAAACTGTGTAACACAGTTTATTATTATTATATATATACATTCGGGGGGTGATTTGCCGGGGATGTAGATTCGCGCGCGCGTGCGTATTGTAGTATCCTGCAATTGTATATGTGCCAGTGTATCAAGTGCGCGCATGTGTGACATACTATATGTGTGGGGTTGAGGCGACAGATATTACTCAGTCCCTAAGGAACTGCATAGGGGAAATCATATTGCTCCTTGGAGGATCGTACTCGTATCAACTTTCTCACTATCGATCCCTCAACGAATCGATTTGGCCCACTAACACCAACATGACAGAATCAAAAAAAAAAAAAAATAGAAAATTCTCAGTAAAAGAAATTATTAAAGATTTGCTTCCAAATGGTAAAGTCTATAAACTAATTTTCAATATAAAAGGATATTTGGCATTACTATTCTAATTCATTTAAACTTAATTTTTATTTTTAAATTTTAAAATTGACAGTTTTAGTAAAATAAAGGTACATTCAACAATAATTCGATATCATATAAGCCCTAAACACGAACTTGATACACCAAAATGCATACATATGCTGTCCTTCCGGTCTAACGGAATTTTGAAAACACGTGTCATTTCTATCAAATATAGTTCGTGGCGTATGAATCTTTGCTCGTATGTCATGAACTAAAAACACTTTGACAGAAATGACACGACTTTTCAAAATTCCGTCAGACCGGAAGGACAGCATACATGCTTTTGGGTGTAAATGAGATAGAAAAGAACACTTGAATATTCTTTTCTAACTCCTGCATTATTTAGGAATTAGGACCAAAGGTCTTAGTGTGAAGTTAGTTACAAGACCAGGAAATGAAATAGAAAAAGCAAGAGAGTATTCTCTTTTTCTATCTTGTGCCCTCTAATAACCAACTTCATTCCCCTTAGAAATAAAAATTAAAAAAGTATTTTTTCTATTTTATATCGAATTCTTCTTGAATCAATTTTAGACCATAAACTGTCATTCCCTTTATTGTGTTCAATTTAAATATTTAAAATAAATTTTTAAAAATTTTGAAAATAATTCACTAAAAAATAAGCTGCAGTTGGAAAAAAGCCATTTAATAGCGAGTGATTAACCCTTTAAGTGCCAATTTATTTTATAGAAACAATATGTGTTTTTATGGAATATATATTTT